AATTTTATAGAAATGTAGATACTTACTAAAATGCAACAATATTTTATCAAATGGAAAATGCGTGTTATGTTTTATTCATCAATAGATTTTTATGAAACTTTAGAATAGAAAAAAAAATGATTTTTTAATCGATTTTTTTTAAAAAGAAAAAAATGTTAAATAATTTTATTTCACGTTGTTTGTGTTAAAAAAAAATTTAGCACTTGTTTTACTATATTTGATATTTTTTAACCCCAAACTTGAACTCTGAAAACATTTTCATTGTGGTTTGTAAACTAAAGCTAATGCCGCTTTTTTACTCACTTTAAAAGTAACATAAAAAACACTATAAAAACTAAAAATTCGCCACAAATTATAATTTTCTAACCTCTACATCTTTGGTGTTGTAGACTTTTGATATTTCGAGGTATGACTTCTGTTAGATAAGAATGTCTAAAGGAATAGAGTTGTTCACAAACTTATATTTCTAATCCCTATATCTTTGCTACCCAATGTTGTAGACCTTACATATTTTAAACTATGAATTCTGTTAGATAGAAGAAAAGGGTCAGTCTGCATTGCGTAAAAAAAGAAAAAAATAACCCTAAACTAATCTAAAATAATTTAGAAATACTGTTCCACATACACAAAAGTGGTTTGCCTAGCCGAATTTTAACTCATTTTATGTAGTGTCCCAAAACATGTCCATTTTTTAAGCTCGCCAAATACAATGATAACATGTATACCTTTATCTGATTGATGATTTGAAAATTAGGAGTGTTTTCCTATCTAGTAAATGTATGCTGGATGTTAAGGAAGATTGATTTGTGACTTTTTTTAGAACTTGCAGCCAGCCACCCACCTGAGGTCGCTGTGTTTTAAATTAATATAAATATTGTAATAAAAAAAAATTTCAAAATCGTCCATTGGGTTGCGAATTGACAATTTAATATTGGAGAAATCGCCGTAAGGCCTAAAAAAATATTTCAAAAAATAAATATGATACATCATTTTCTTGGAAATTTCATGCTGAATTTAGATTTGAAACCCATTTTTAAATATATTAAAATCTAAAGAAGTTATGGCCAAATAACGGTACTAAATTCCGGTTTTTAAACTTTTTAATCTTTTAATGATGAGTTTTTAGCTCTGACTCACTATATTTTCAATTTTTTTAAATGCTTTTCAGGTTTGAATTTAGCATTGAATTTCCAAGAAAATGATGTATAACATGAAAATAAAAAATAAATTTTTTTTGTGGCCTTCCGGTGAAAACGCAATGACTTCCGGTGGGCGGTTGGCTCTATTCCAATATTGATCACCCTTACTGAACATGCCACTCCATAAATGGAAGGTCACTTGAAATTACGTCTCTAGTCCCTTAAAGACACACTTTGAGTTGAAAGTCTAATGCTAAAAACTTTCATTTACAAATTTTAAAAATCGTTAAAAATAATAATATTATAGCATTTTTATATTGCATAATGCATATTCTCTAACACATTCTATAAAAAGGTTAATAATACAACAGCAACATACAGGGTCAGTAAAAAAATGTAATTATCACGGAAAAAATCTTGAAATGCTTTCATTTACAAACAATATTATTTAAATAAAGTGTAACGTTAGAAACTTTAAGGCTTGAACATTTTAATACAACGCAACGTATAGAACATTTTTTCAAATCTTTCTTAAAAACGAAACGAATAAACAGTTTTGATTGTCAGTTGTAAAAAAGTGTAACAAAATTTTTTTCACAATAACGTTTCGATAAATAGTAAAGTAAGGTGCATTTTGGTAAAATTTCTAAACGTAATTAATAGAGTTTATTTTGGAAAAGTTAAGATAAAACGTAATGCTAACAAAAAAAATTCTTTGCACTGAAATGCATTGTAACGTACAGAACTATGCCTCAATGACGTTTTATTAAAGCAAAACGTTTGTCATCTTTTAGATCTTAAACCAAGTGAAAGTGTAACGTAAGGTCTTTGAAAATATTTACCTTGCACGAAAGTGGAACGTTAAAAAATTGTGGTTATATTACATAAGCTTTAACGCAACGTTGGAAAGGTTTTTTAAAACGGGAAATGCAAAAGCGTAACGGAGCTTACTGTTTTTTCACTAACATTTACTAAAGCTTAACGTTGTATGAGATATTCAAGTGCAGAAAATTCATTACGTAACGTTACTCTATGCCATAAAAATTCATAATGTGCAACGTAACGTTTCAAACATTAATACTTTTGATGAACACTATCGTAACGAAAAATAAAATCTAGAAAAATCAAAACGTTGATATCTCTATTGTTTAACTGGTGGGATTGCGCGCCTAAATCATAAAATCTAGGAATTAGGATGATTTAAAAAGTCAATTTCATTAAATTTAATCATTTTCATGATTTTCTTTCAGAGTTTTAGAAATTATCTTTCAGTTTGTATAAGGTATCAATTTCCTTATTTTATCATTATTCATTAATAGTTTTTAATAATTTAAATAAGATAAATGATGTTAAGGAGAGGAAAAAATATTTGAATTAGGCAGTCCCCACACTATTAGGTAGTCCCCTCTCTATTAGGTAGTCCCTACACTATTAGGTAGTCCCCACACTATTAGGTAGTCCCTACACTATTAGGTAGTCCCCACACTAGTAAGCAGTCCCCACACTATTAGGTAGTCCCTACACTATTAGGTAGTCCCCACACTTTTAGGTAGTCCCCACACTATTAGGTATTCCCCACACTATTAGGTAGTCTCTACACTATTAGGTAGTCCCCACACTATTAGGTAGTTCCCACACTATTAGGCAGTCCCCACACTATTAGGCAGTCCCCACACTATCAGGTAGTCCCCCCACTATTAGGTAGTCCCCACACTATTAGGTATTCCCCACACTATTAGGTAGTTCTCACACTATTAGGTAGTCCCTACACTATTAGGTAGTCCCCACACTATTAGGTAGTCCCCACACTATTAGGCAGTCCCACACTATTAGGCAGTCCCCACACTATCAGGTAGTCCCAACACTATTAGGTAGTCCCCACACTATTAGGCATTCCCCACACTATTAGGCAGTCTCCACACTATCAGGTAGTCCCCACACTATTAGGTAGTCCCTACACTATTAGGTAGTCCCCACACTATTAGGTAGTCCCTACACTATTAGGTAGTCCCCACACTATTAGTTAGTCCCAACACTATTAGGCAGTCCCTGCACTATTAGGTAGTCCCCACACTATTAGGTAGTCCCCACCCTATTAGTTAGTCCCTACACTATTAGGCAGTCCCCACACTATCAGGTAGTCCCCACACTATTAGGTATTCCCACACTATTAGCTAGTCCCCACACTATTAGTTAGTCCCCACACTATTAGGCAGTCCCCACACTATCAGGTAGTCCCCACACTATTAGGTAGTCCCCGCACTATTAGGTAGTCCCCACACTATTAGGTAGTCCCCACACTATTAGGTAGTCCCCACACTATTAGGTAGTCCCTACACTATTAGGTAGTCCCCACACTATTAGGTATTCCCACACTACTAGGTAGTCCCCACACTATTAGGTAGTCCCCACACTATTAGGTAGTCCCCACACTATTAGGTAGTTCTCACACTATTAGGTAGTCCCCCCACTATTAGGTAGTCCCTACACTATTAGTTAGTCCCTACACTATTAGGTAGTCCCCACACTATTAGGTAGTCCCCACACTATTAGGTAGTTCTCACACTATTAGGAAGTCCCCACACTATCAGGTAGTCCCTACACTATTAGGTAGTCCCCACACTATGCATATTTAATGGAATGGAACTGATTATTGCACCTCATACTCTAATTTCATAATCCAAATATCCTTGCAATCTGATGATGACGACCTTTGATATTTCAAACTTCGACAATAATTTTATCTACCAGAATAGTTTTATCTACCAGAATAGTTTTATCTACCAGAATAGTTTTATCTACCAGAATAATTTTATCTACCAGAATAGTTTTATCTGCTGGAATTCACAGATTAACATTTTAAAGGACAAGACAACTGCAGATTCCCAAGTTTTATCAAGTTTATTTTTAAGAAAAAAAAAATTGGGGCCAAAAGGTCTAATTTGATAAGACCCCGCACAGAAAGCTAGATATACAGTTTTTTTAAATTTACATTTATTATGTAAAAGTATTGGCTAAAAGCAAAGGCTCGATGACTATCAGACAAGTTTATATCTGAATTTAACGTAAACATATATTACAGTTTAGTTAAAAAGTGCAAAACAATCACAGTTTTCCAGTCAAATTAGAAAAACGTATACATCCTACTTTTAAATATTTCCAACTACGCCATTGGACAGATTAAGTTTAATGAATTATCATAAGTAGTGATTATTATCAGTAAGATGTTCATTACGTTCGTTCGTTTCTTGCCTTCATTTTCATTCATGATCCACATTTGTGTAAGAATAACAAATGTTTTCAAAATTATTTATTTTATGCAAATTGTAAACTTTTCTTACATCTTGCCAAATTTTGACCCTGACAGGAAATAAAAGTAAAAAACTAACAAAAAACGACCCAAAGACGATCTAAAAACGACCCAAAAACGATCTAAAAACGATCGTGTTATAACGATCGTTTTCATTTTTTTAAATGATAAAAACGATATAAAGTTTAATAAAAGCAAACATTAACTTAAGACAGTTTTCATTTATTGAAAGTTTTATCAAAAGTTTAGAACACTACTGGTAAGTGGTAGTTATCACATAAAGTTATTAATTATCGAACAATTCAAATCCGGATGTCCAACTAAAAAAATACAGGATACAACTTAAAGGTCGTCTCTAATTCAGTTGCAGGATTCATCAAAAAAAATTTTAAAAGTTATATTCTTGAATTAGTAATCTCATAATACCCCTAGTCCTGGCATTTCCAAAATGTGATCAGGTTTTTTGTGCATGACCACAGGTATGAAGAGGTAAAAAGATAAGGATTCAAAAATAAGAGTCTGGGGTAAGTTTTTCAGTTCCTTTCTTTTTCAGATGTGAATGCGGAGAATTAAAGTTAAATACATGTGTGAGGGAGATCGATAGATGAGAGTTTTTAATCCTAAGTTCTCAATTCACAAAGGTAGGTCTGAAGCATTACAAAAACTCGTTAATTATTTGGATAAAGTGGTCAGCGTTTATAACAATACAATTAAGACGATTTTTCTATTTTATTTTTAATTTCTTAAAAGATTATTTTAAATTACACGATAACATATAAATTTACAACTTCTTACTGGGTGTGACGGTTGGAACTGTTGGGACTGGCGCCAAATTACTCCAAGATGTCTGACCTAAATCTGGACGTTCACACAAAAAGTTCAGCAGGCAAGCGCTGAACTTTGTGTGAACGTAGTGCTGCGGGATGAACCGAACGCAAGGTTAAAGGGCTCAAGCCTGGGTTCAAAAAAATCTGAAAATCCGAACATTTTCTCAAAAAGTGTTCGACCGTTTCCATGCTTATATGTGTATCCATGCTGTTTGAAGGATTTCTAGAAATCAAAATTTAAATCGAAAGTTGTCTTCATTGTATAAATAAACACGATGACGACAGTAGTACATAATTTTCACATAAAAACACACCTCTTTACCGGTCACCTCTTTACCGGTCACCTCTTTGCCGATCACCTTTTTAGACATTTTTACTTTTAGAACTGGAATTATACGTTCCCACGCAGACCTCTATGTATATATATATAATTCCTCTTATTATTCAAATTCAGAACATAATATGCAGGGTTACCTATAAAGGATGAGACTTCAGAGACGACTGTACGGAGTTAATACTGTATTTTTCCTTATATTCGGGAGTCCCTACAACTTTAAACTTTTTTTTTCTTTGACAAATCATTAAATAAGACTATATTTGAGCCAGAAGACTTAATCTAACCTTGAAATTGTCTTATTTGAAGAGTTTCAGGTCTTCATTACAGTCTTTTCCTGTCAGGATAACCCTGTGGGGTTTACGTACAGGTTTTTAACTTTCAAAATCCAGTGAATTTAAAAGTTTCGATATCGATTTAAGCTAAGTAGCTTAGCACTATCTCAAACAAAAGTTCTTAATATAAATTTTATTTCAGCTCTAGAGACCTAACCTCGAGCTAGGTGAGCAGTATCTCCATGCTGATGAGTATGACTGTTCTAGCAATCTCCACATACGCTCTTCTCCTTCTATATCCTTCACACAGGTAAATAAAGGCTGGACTACAAGGACGATATGTGAAAAAGTCTTCATTTTATCTGAATCTTTCTATTCGTGCAACTTAACAACTAAATCAAACAAATATCATTTAAACTGCAGAACATGTTTTCAACAAAGGATGAGACTTCGATCAGAGATGACTACACCGATTTAAATCCTTTTTTCATTAATTTTTAGGGACGAATTATCCTCGTTGAAAAGTGTCAGTTTTGATTTTGATTTAATATTCCTGGGTTCATCTGTTTTTATTCTTTTTAAATAACAATATGTTGAAATGTCTAATTAAACTTCTACGTCAGAAAACAAGATTAAAAACTCTCAAAGGGAGATTTATATTTAATCTCCCGGATCCTGGGGTGTCGATTCAGGAACTAAGCTAAGAGGAGGGAGTAAATTGCCCCTCACCCCTCGACAAATTTGACACTACACTATAAACAGAAGGAGATACGACTTTGTGACCTCGTAGCTCCTCTACTTTTGATGTAACACACACACATAAATTCAGTCTGCTTATTAAAAATTTTAAAACAGGGTCGACTTTCAAGTGTCGCAACGCCTTGGGCTTTGATTTTACCGCTCTAAGTTACCTTTTGATCAGGAGTTAAATATTATATAATGATCACCCAACCTATTACATCTGTAAAACGTGTGGAGGAGGAGGGGGGAGAAGTGGTACTTAAGTGAAAATTACAAAGATTTCTGTAAATATCATAATTAAGAAAAGAGACAACAAGTTAGTTTTGTTCATGTCTATTTTTATTCAAAAATAAATTTTTGATTTTAGATGGGAAAGAGAAGGAATAGGATCCGTTGATGGAGCTTTTAATATTCTGCCAGATACTTGGTGAGTTTATCATGGTTATTCATAGATCATCAGACTTTTAATATTCTTCCAGATACTTGGTGAGTTTATCATGGTTATTCATAGATCATCAGACTTTAAATATTCTTCCAGATACTTGGTGAGTTAGTCATGGTTATTCATAGATCATCAGACTTTAAATATTCTTCCAGATACTTGGTAAGTTTAACGATACTGAGTATAATTGGTTACACACATCAAATTATGTTTTGGATAGGTAAAACATGGATTTAATAATGTAATTATGATATTAGGCCTATAATCTCATGAAATTATTCTTATTATTCCTCAATTTAAGATATTTTATAATACAAAATAATGAAAATAATGTTCAGCTTAATTTGTATTCATTTTGTATAAAATTGTTTAATTTATCTTCTTTTATAACATATCTAGTATTTCTAAAGTTTGTACTATCCAAAAACGTGCTGAAACACAAAGACTCTATATCAACATATTCAGTTAAAAATAGAGAGATGACAAATATAATATCAAACTCAATTTTTACAGTTCTGTTGTTTTATTTGCTCTACTCGGAATTGAAATTTTTTTAGGGATAACTTAATATTTTTAATATCTATTTATGTCATTGTAATGTGTAATTATTAAGTGCACCCTGCAGCCCCTGTAAGAGTTTTTGATTTTAAATACAGTGTTTTTCGCGTATTTAGTTACGCTTTTCCGGCAGCATCACTTAGCTCCAGAATGTTTTTTTTACGTTTTTTTACAATCCCTTTTTAGGTCTGAGATCGGACAGGACGAAGTATGTACGGATACTGAGAAGGAGAAGGTTTGGAATTCTCTTCCTGAATGTACACCCCGTAATATCCTGGTTCGGGTTCCATTCCCTCCAGATCCAGATACTATCCAGGTACAGTTCTAACCAGGATACTATCCAGGTACAGTTCTAACCAGGATGCTATCCAGGTACAGTTCTAACCACGATACTATACAGATACAGTTCTAACCAGTATAATATCCAGATACATTTCTAACCAGGATACTATCCAGGTACAGTTTTAACCAGGATACTATACAGGTACAGTTATAACAAGGATACTATCCAGGTACATTTCTAAACAGGATACTATCCAGGTACAGTTCTAACCAGAATACTATCCAGGTTTAGTTTAAACAAGGATACTATCCAGGTACATCGTTGATGTAGACTGAAACGAGTAAGAGTGCTCTCTCAAAACCTCGTAGAGATCAGGAGCCAATATAAGAAAATAAGTATTAAAACATGATTTGAATACTTATTTTATATTTAGACTAGCTTGGGAACCCAGCGCTGCTCAGTTACTAAAAGTTATTCACGCCGTTTACCCGCACTTGAACGATTTTACCTGGAAACTAAATTTTGCTATAAAAATCGACCTACTCAACTTAGAATCTCAAAACCAAACTAAGAACATTCCCGTTGGTCTTCGAGTCCCCCAATCAAAATTTGAGGCAAATTGGTTAGGGGTTCCTGAGTTATGATTGGACAAACAAACAAACAAAAAGACAAAGAGAGATTACATTTTATATATATAGAAGATATAAATACGATCATTCAACTTTTTTAGTTTATTCCGAGTCTAGTGGAGGTTCCTAGATGCGCTGGAACCTGTCACCAGGAGGGTCAACTTTACCACAGGTAGCAGGTCATCTTTGCCACAGGTAGCAGGTCAACTTTACCACAGGTAGCAGGTCAACTTTACCACAGGTATTAGATCAACTTTACCACAGGTAGCAGGTCTACTTTACCACAGGTATCAGGTCATCTCTAACACGGGTAGCAGGTCAACTTTACCACAGGTAGCAGGTCTACTTTTCCACAGGTATCAGGTCATCTCTAACACAGGTAGCAGGTCAACTTTACCACAGGTAGCAGGTCTACTTTTCCACAGGTATCAGGTCATCTCTAACACGGGTAGCAGGTCAACTTTACCACAGGTAGCAGGTCAAATTTACCACAGGTAGCAGGTCAACTTTACCTCAGTTATTAGGTCAACTTTACCACAGTTATTAGGTCAACTTTACCACAGGTAGCAGGTCAACTTTACCACAGATAGCAGGTCAACTTTTTACTTTACCACAGGTGCCAGAAATTCTGTTCTAAATAAAGCGGGGTAGTTTATTAATTGATTGTAGACTTGAAAGTCGTTTTTCACTTTAGAAATAGTTTGTGGCATTTAATTTGGTAACCTAATTCAAGAAATTTTCATGAAACAATAATCACAAACTTGCCTTAGTCCTGCAATTTCCAAAATGTGGTCTCTCATTTTTTCCTTTACAAATTAACCAAAAATATTACGAATTTTGTTTAGATTTCAACTCCTTGATCAAAGCCATGAAATAAATCATTCATACCTAAAGAAGATAATGAATCCTTAATTAAAGAAAAGTAAAAATCCTTTAAATCCCATGATTCCCTAGAACAACACGTTTTATTTTTAGGTGCGCAGCCAATGAGACTTCTCAGCGTGAGATTCCAGTTATAATTGAGCGTGTTTCCGGTCAGACCACAGAGGAGATCTGTACGACCGTCAAGGTTGAAATTCATCTGTAAGTTTAGGTCATAGTTTGTTAGATGTACAGAGCTAGATGAGTCATAGAAATCTTGCTTCAAGATAATTGAATGCGTAGATTTAATTAAATTAAAATATTTTAGTCTTTTTACTTATAAAAGATGTTCGCTTCACAAAGACACACTTGAAACCTTTATCTGCTCTGCAGTAAGAAGATATTTTGAAAAGAGTTAGATGCGTCAGTTTTCCTTTTTTATTTCTTCTGCTTACATCCGCAAGTCTCAATTGACAATGATAAATTTTAAGATTTAAAAACAAAAATATTTACTTCATTTATGCTCAGACAAATATTTTCATTGGCGTGTCGCTTAAAATAAAAATGACAAAGTCTGTTTAACCAGATGTATTCAATTCAAGACTTTCAAATAGTATAATTTTATCACAATAATGCCCGTTTTTCATAGAACCTATATCTCTTTCACACTCCATAAAGCTTTTTTTACTTTTTTTAACTTTACAAATAAATCTATAATTTTTTTTTCTATAAGTTGTTAGTTCATCGTCGAAAAATACTAACAATCCACCACCAATTTATATTAAATAAAGTGTAAACAATAAATATGTAACTTTCCTTATCCTTTCCTTTCCTTTTCCTTTTATTTCTTTTTTAATATTTTTTAGAATTGGGGGGAAATATTGCCACAACCTCTACTTTTAGAGGTTTTTTAAATATTTTCTCCTGAAACACTTAATTTTGTATGTTTTGTTACATTTCATAAATAAATAATTTTTTACTTTTACTTTTACTAATATTCTCTAGATCTTGTAACTGTGGTTGTAGAAAAGAAACATGTCATGGAAACCAAGAATTTAATGAGAAGTCCTGTTCTTGCAGATGTAAAGATGCAGGTTAGAGCATCAGGAATTTTATTTCAAAAGATTTGTATATCCCTAGAGTAGAGCCAAATTCATAGAGATTAAAAGTTTGCAAGATCTCCCGCAAAATCGGCGAGAATATACCAATTGCAGCAGTATACACGTGATTTAAAGGTCTCACTGTGATAGGTCTCACGCTCTCAATCAAAAATCGATGAAAATTTTGCAAATTACTTCTTATAAACCAAAGCTAAGAACAAGTGCTTTACAGTGCTAAAATGTACATGTAAAGGGCTACAGTAAAGCATTATAAAGTTAGAGCGGTAAAATCTAAGCCCAAGGCATTGCGACACTTCAAAGCCCATCCTGTCTTAAAAATTGATGAGACTATTTATAAGCAGGCTGAATCTATGTGCAGTAGGGATCCTTATGTTTTTATTTGTTAAATTCAGGAGCTATGGGACAGTGTTTAGTGCAGTATAACAAGGTAAATAAAAACTAGAGAAAATAATATTTTTTATTGTTTAAATAAAAGTATTAACCCTGATTACCACATTAGTATTACAAAAATTCGTTGCTCAGAATTAATACGTGAACTCAAGAATTAGCCCCCCCCCCCCCCCGGTCTATGTACACCAGGGAGTAAGGAATACAAAGCATATATAATCATATGGTAGGGCGAACCGCGTCAGTTATATCTCCCTTCTATTCCTTACTCCCATGATGTACATCCTCTATTCCAGGTCAGGTTATATAGAATATGATAATCACGCCACATCAAGCATGGGTAAAGGAATGGTCAGGGCGGTCCTTTTTTTGGAAATTATCAGATTCGTTAATTTTAAGTAAACAAACATACTGCAGAAAGGACTGAAGGATAGAAGGATGAGATAATAAAGAGAGAAGGCAGGGGGCCAGAATTTGAAGAACAGAGGGAATAAGAAGAATGTAAGATGGAAGGATGGAAGGAAGGATAGAAGTTTATGAGCAGAATGAGGATGAGGATTGGGTGAGGAGCNTATTTCTGTATAAAGCCAGTATATATAAAATCTCAATTCCATAAACTGTTAAACTTATAGATCTGGGATACCTGGATATATGAATTATTAACCCTATAGATCTGGGATACTATTTATTATATAAACTATTGACCCTATGGGTCTAGGATACCTGGATATATAAACTATTAACCCCATCGGATTGGGATACCTGAATATATAGACTGTTAACCCCATAGACCTGGGATACCTGGATATATAAAGTACTAGCTGAAGTATCCGGCGTTGCCCGTGGAATCTTTTTAGGCCTTTGTTACTTTTAAAAAATCAGCCAATTTGTTCCAGCTTTTTGGCCAGCTATAGCTTTCATTTACCTACAAATTATATTATAATTTAAAATTTATTATATAGGTTAACCCTGTAGATCTGGGATACCTAGATAAATAAACTATTAATCCTATAGATCTGGGATACCTAGATAAATAAACTATTAACCCTATAGATCTGGGATACCTAGATAAATAGACTATTAACTCTATAGATCTGGTATACCCAGATAAATAGACTATTAACCCTATAGATCTGGGATACCTAGATAAATAAACTATTAACCCTATAGATCTGGGACGGGGAGAGATGCCTCTGTAGATGTAGACCAGAGGAGTGGAAGGAATGTAATACAGGGTTCTCATATGACGGAGTTTACACCTGCCAATGTCTCCCAGGTATAATTAGCAAGATAATGAGGGTAAAAACAATAAAAATTGCTAACAATGCCGTATATTTAAGAACGTTTATGCGCAATATCCAGTGACGTTCAATTAAAAATGGCAAATCCTTTTCACAATGGTGCCTTTAAATCCTTTTCACAATGGTGTCTTTAAAACTTTGAAGAATACATAATAAATCTATCATTTTTCTCGTCTAGAATTGAATATTTTTAATTGCAGATCCCTATAAAGTGATTTATGATAAAGAAATGATTAAAGAACTGTCAGAATGAACCCCTCTTCATGCTATAACAAAGACGAATCCTACATTAATATTAAGTTATAGGTTTAAAGGGTATAGGTATTGAGGGACTCTTTTTAATGAAATACCCCTAAAGTACCTTCAATAAAAACTATTTCTAAGGTCCTCCTCTCTCTGCTTCCTCTGGTATAGTGGTAACCCTGAGTGTTCTAGTGGTGGTGCTTCTAGGTTCAGTTCACTAAAAATCATATTTATGAAAAAACGTGTTCCCAGCGGGCACCCAACTAGTACATATATATATATATATATATTTACAAGATTCATGAACGATAATGTAAATCTTTTATTTGGTCACGAGATATGCATAAAATGAGGATAATAGTTATTAGAAGGAATATAGATAAGGTATCAGGTTTCCCTGATATAGTACTCGGGGATATTTATTACAAGACATTTTCGTTGTTTTCCAAGTTAACCAAACTAAATTTGAGGCATAAGGGGTTCCTGGATAGTTTATAACAACAAATAAACAATATGTATAAAGCAGTAATCTCTGTTGAGGTGCTTGAATTTTATTTATAAAGTTTACAGGCAATGCTGGGTTCCCTAACTAGTTATAGATGTAAATATATAACCCTACCTTCTTAACATTAATCCTTCTCAACAATATTTTCTGTCCAATATGAACTGAATTGGTATAAGTTGGAATAGTTGGGGTTTCACTCATGTACAGAAAATCACGCAACCACGTCTCACAACTCATTAGGTCGAACCTAGATAAAGAAGCGGAGAACTCGGATACTCCAGGTATATATTCAATACAGGAGAACCCAGATATACTCTACTTATATATTTAATAAAGGAGAACCCTGATATACTCTAGGTAGATGTTTAATACAGGAGAACCTAGATATACTCTAGATATAGTTTAATACAGAATGAACCCAGAAATACTCTAGGTATACATGTAATACAGGAGAGCCCAGATAAACTCTAGATATACGTTTAATACAGGAGAACCCAAATATACTCTAGATATACATTTAATACAAGATTAACCCAAATAAACTCTAGAGGTATACGTTTAATACAGGAGAACCCAGAAATACTCTAGGGGATACATTTAATACAGGAGAGACCAGATATAATCTAGGTATACATTTAATACAGAAGAACCCAGGTTTACTCTAGGTATACATTTAATACAAGATAAACCCGAATAAACTGTTTGATACAGGAGAACCCAGATAAACTCTAGGTATACATATAATACAGGAGACCCCAGATATACTCTAGGCATACATTTAATGCAGGAGACCCCAGATATACTCTAGGCATACATTTAATACAGGAGACCCCAGATCATTTAATACAGGAGAACCCAGGTTTACTCTAGGCATACATTTAATTCAGGAGAACCCAGGTTTACTCTAGATATACATTTAATTCAGGAGAGCCCAGGTTTACTCTAGGTATACATTTAATACAGGAGAACCCAGGTTTACTCTAGGTAAACATTTAATTCAGGAGAACCCAGAAATACTCTAGGTATATATAGATTTAATACAGGAGAATACAGATATACTCTGGATATACATTTGATACAGGAGAACCCACGGATATACTTTAGGTGTAACGTTTTTATACATGAGAACTCAGATATAGTCAAGGCATACGTTTAATACAGACATGAGAACCCAGATTTTAAATATACTGTTTTGCAACCAAATGAATTTAAATATTTTAAATTGTTTTACTATTGTAGAACCGGAGAATATGGTGTTGCTTGAAGATAAGGTTAATGAGCTTAAACCTGTAAATCTACAGAAAACTCCTGAAATGGAATTAACTGGAGTAAACTGATGCAAACAAAAAGTATAGACTATTTCAAAATGCAACGTACTGCAAAGTAGATTGTACTTTGAATGTAAAGCCATATAAAAGAATCAACCAAAACTGAAAAAATTGTACAAAATATAGTTTAATAGTTAACATTTTTTATATTGCAAATGTGAATTTGATCAAACTACTTTGCAAAAAAAGAGTTTGAATATTTAGACTTTTTAAAATCCAAATTCCTGTAACAGTTTATTCATGGATCATTAATTCATGTTTTATTTTTGTGTTTTAATTTTTCAGTCTGTAAAGGGAGTGAACGGCAAAATGGGATATTAAAGTGAAGACGCAGAATTTAAAAACAATTTGGATTTGTATCACTATCGCCTCTCTTTGATTTTTTACTGCTCGCTTCTGATTGGCTAAAAACAATTGAAAAGAAGTGAAAAATATTTTATGTTTAAGGGAGAATCAAAGTACACTCCAGCCAGTCACTCCCTGAAACAAAAATATTTAAAGTTTTCATGAAGAGGTAAAAATATCTTTATAGATACATCATTCAAAATGAAACAAAACAAATCAAAAAAAAGGGAGATTGAAAAACATAAAGAGTTTACAAAAAGTAAAAAAAAAAATGATATAATGTTGAAATTGATCTATTTACGATCTACAAAGAACAAAGAGATAAATCAAATTTTATTTATCTCAAACATTTTTTGACTGATTTTTGACTAAATGAACAGTCACATGCCACATTAATCTCTCTTGAAGGGGACATAGTCATACTGTACTGTACAGCTGGCTCTAGAAGCTTTAAAGTCAGTCCGGCACTTCAAATAAAGTGATAACCAGAAAACTCTGGAATAGAAAGACGACTTTTAAACTCAAGATATGACTTTAAATAGTCCAATGAACATGAGGCACAGCAATTGTTCAGTGTAAGGAGACCCATTTCACTTAATTAGTGATTTAATAACTTACTGGTAAGGGTATTTGCTTTGTAACAACATCATGCCCTTCAGTATTGCACAAATGTCGTCTTCCTATTCCACAGTTTTCTGGTTATCACTGTAAGCCGGATTTTTTATTAAAGCAAGTGTAATCTTCAGAGAAATCTAAAAATTATATGAACTATGAATATTGAATTTTGTATAAAATGTATGAGTCAGGGTAGATTATGGCAGTTGAAAATAACGGTCACAATGATTTTTATTTATTTTCTCATGCACACCTGTATATATGGAAAGTAAAAACATTTAAAGGGACTGTATATTTAAAGGGACTGTATATTTAAAGGGACTGTATATTAAAGGGACTGTATATTTAAAGGGAATGTATATTTAAAGGGAATGTATATTTAAGGGACTGTATATTAAAGGGAATGTATATTAAAGGGACTGTATATTTAAAGGGACTGCATATTCAAGGGACTGTATATTAAAGGGAATGTATATTAAAGGGACTGTATATTAAAGGGACTGTACATTTAAAGGGACTGTATATTTAAAGGGACTGTATATTTAAAGGGACTGCATATTTAAGGGACTGTATATTAAAGGGAATGTATATTAAAGGGACTGTATATTTAAAGGGACTGTATATTAAAGGGACTGTATATTTAAAGGGAATGTATATTTAAAGGGAATGTATATTAAAGGGACTGTATATTTAAAGGGAATGTATATTTAAAGGGACTGTATATTTAAAGGGACTGTATATTTAAAGGGACTGTATATTTAAAGGTACTGTATATTTAAAGGGACTGTATATTTAAAGGTACTGTATATTTAAAGGGACTGTATATTTAAAGGGACTGTATATTTAAAGGGACTGTATATTTAAAGGGACTGTATATTTAAAGGGACTGTATATTTAAAGGGGTACTGTATATTTAAAGGGACTGTATTTTTAAAGGTACTGTATATTTAAAGGGACTGTATATTTAAGGGGACTGTATATTTAAAGGGACTGTATATTTAAAGGGACTGTATATTTAAAGGGACTGTATATTTAAAGGGGTACTGTATATGAAAGAAATGCACTCTTTAAATCTTCATAGCAACAATTGAGAAAATATCATTTTTTAATTATAAAAGTGCTGCATTCTGCAAATTACGTTCTATAAATAGATGATAAATTGCAAGAAAGAAAAATGATGATATTTTAATACAATTAACCAATTAACACATGTCAAAATATTTTTGATTATGAATAGTAAAATGTTTAGATAGTTAATATTTTTAATTTAATTGAAAACGTTAAGTTGATATTTTCAGATTTTTATTAATTATTGATTTTTATTAATTCTACGCTCGTGAGGTTTAGAACCCCAAAAGGTCTTGGAGGCCCTCGGCTAAGTGGTTTTCCACTCAATTTAATTATCCTCCCTTAATCTCCCAGTTAAGTAGTAATTAATAGTTATATTAATTCTGAAACTGTTGATATTTTGTAAAAAAAAAAATCCAGTTTAAACCAGTTTAAACTAGTAAATATTTCAACTCGTTTATTTAAGGACTGCACTTAATTCCACTTCAATCCCCAGCTTTTCTAAATAAAATAACTAAACCGCTCCTATTCCCCTTAAAGCTGTGAATTCCCCCTCCTCCCTCCACTACACCCCCCCCCACTCCGTTTGAATGCTAGTGTTGGGGAGAGAGGGGGGGGGATCATCTGCTCCAAGACCAGTTTCAACCATCTGCTCCGTATGCCATTCAGAGTACAGAGAACACAGATCTACGAATAGGAGGTAGATGGGGAGGAGGGAGGAAGAAAGAAAAAGGGGTGTGAGGAGGAGAAGAAAATAAAGTATTAAAGGGAGTGACCGGCAATGTATGATAGTTGAGCTGTGAATGCAGTATTGGGGAGAAATTTTTAAAGATTAATTTGAGACATATATAACGTTTCAATGATTTGAAATTCATTAGTTTGAGCGCAAAGTCGACTTTCAAAATCACCCATTTGGGTAGTTACATAATGAGAATCGATTTTTTAAATTATGAAATAACGACGACAAAAAATGTAACAAAAATTCGACAGTAAACTAATTGGTTGTTTAGGAACATGTTGAGAAAATAAAAATTAACTCTTTTTCTTATTCAGTTATTAGTTTCTCATTGTTCACTGTAGATTTTCTGTAAATTTTTTAAAGACATCATTTGAAGAATTCGTAGAAATCTAAGAACAAATTCGTAAAGAATAAGAAATAGTTGATTCTAACATTGATTTATTGACAAATTTCTATTGAGAAATATGTTCCTAAACATCTAATTATTTTACTGTAGAATTTTTTATACATTTTCTTCGTCGTTATTTCATAATTAAAAAAAATCGATTCTCAAAACGTAACCACCCAAATGGATGAATTTTAACGTCAAATTTGCGCGCGCTCAAACTCAGTAGTTATACTTCATTAAAACGTTTTAAAAGTATCAAATAAAACCTAAAAAAATTTCTCCACAATACTACATTCTCAGTTCAACTATTCACCATACATTGCCGGTCACTCCCTTTAAACATGAAATGAGAAAGAAGGACGCCAGAGAGAGGTGGAGAGAGTAAGAGTAAATTAGGGGAGTAAGAAGTTGTAAATGAAAGGGGAGAAAAAATAGAGTGTTGGGGAAAAAAGAGAAAAGGAGAGTGAAAAGGAAGAGAATTAAGAGGAGGGCAAGTGAATCGAGTGAAGAGAAGTGGGCCGTGGGGAGGGGGGNGGCATGCTTTATTTTCAAGTGACGAAGATGGCATGCTTTATTTTCAAGTGACGAAGATGGCATGCTTTATTTTCAAGTGACGAAGATGGCATGCTTTATTTTCAAGTGACGAAGATGGCATGCTTTATTTTCAAGTGACGAAGATGGCATGCTTTATTTTCAAGTGACGAAGATGGCATGCTTTATTTTCAAGTGACGAAGATGGCATGCTTTATTTTCAAGTGACGAAGATGGCATGCTTTATTTTCAAGTGACGAAGATGGCATGCTTTATTTTCAAGTGACGAAGATGGCATGCTTTATTTTCAAGTGACGAAGATGGCATGCTTTATTTTCAAGTGACGAAGATGGCATGCTTTATTTTCAAGTGACGAAGATGGCATGCTTTATTTTCAAGTGACGAAGATGGCATGCTTTATTTTCAAGTGACGAAGATGGCATGCTTTATTTTCAAGTGACGAAGATGGCATGCTTTATTTTCAAGTGACGAAGATGGCATGCTGTATTTTCAAGTGACGAAGATGGCATGCTGCATTTTCAAGTGACGAAGATGCTATGCTGTATTTTCAAGTGACGAAGATGGCATGCTGTATTTTCAAGTGACGAAGATGGCATGCTGCATTTTCGAAAGCTTTTGAGAAAAAAGTAAAAGTGAGTTAAAATCTGAAACTTTAAAGTTAACCCAGCCTTGAAATTTTTTGTTAAAATAGCTAGCCAAGGTTTATGAAGCGTTCTTAAAACCGTCTCTCAAGTGTCGAGTATTTTATAGAAGGATACGTTATAGGACTTTGACGTTTACTCTAAATATTTCCTTAAACACCTCTTTCAAAAACTTCTTTTTATGGATATTATAGCTATATATACATATAATGTATACTATAGTTTATGGATACTATAGCTAACTTGAAAGTTACAATAGAGCTAAACTCTTGCTAAACCATTATAATTTTCGAGCCCCATATGTTAGTTCAAACATTTACCTAAGTATTTTACAGAAGTCCTAGTTTTAAAATGTCAAAAGTCTAGAACATCATGTTGCAAGTACATAAAGGTTATTTAGAAAATTTAAATTTTTAGTGTGTTCAGTCTGATCTTCGTAAACACCCTGTCATGTATCGTGGCAAGATATAATGTTTTAATCAATTAAAAAAAAACAAATGGATCGAAAATACTAATTTTATATTTCATTTTTTATGTATTTCTCTGTATGAACTACAGATAATATTTCATTTTTTATGTATTTCTCTGTATGAACTGGTGTGTATATCCTATAGATCGTATGATGAGATGTAGATAATAGATTTAAATACCCCGGACACACTTCTCTAGCTCCTCCTACCACCTGGATACTGAGGGGGGGGGGCAGCTGCACGCCGAGGGGAGGGGGAGTCAACGACTATATAATAGAAATTTGGGGAGGGGGTAGTGGGGGTTGCCCTCATCACATCTCTTTGTAACGTACATCCCTGTTTCCGGGTTGGAAATTTAGTTCAATTCAATTTAAATTGCGTTTTGTTTTTGAAGATCTTTAAATATATATATATATTATAATTAATTTATTATTCAAGCTCTACTTATCCAAGTATAGAGCTAAAGAGAATAGAACATATATTAGAGGGGAATTTACTAGAAAAAAGTGTAAAACGGCCATTTTGTTGTACAGTTGCCATACTGCAGATGTACTTCACATATTTATGCTATGTAATCTTTTGGGCCCTGGAAAATCATTATGTAGAAAATCTAAAATTAATATTAAAAGAAACCCAAATTTTGAAATAGGCTGGTTTCATAATTGACCAATGATCATTTCACATTGACTCTATGCCTTTCATTTTACAGACGAAGATTTTCCGTTATAACTATAAATCAAATGATGTTTTTTTATTCACCTAATTCATTATAAAGTTTATTTAACAGCTTTAAAAAATTCGAAATTGAAATGGATACTCCATTAGTCTATTGGTAATTTAGCAAATTATTTTCATTTCCCGGTTTTATATAATTTTTCATTGCCGTGTAAACATAAGACAAGTTTTAGTGATTTGTATACCTATGCATATATTTTCTTAATCAATATCTGAGCTTTGAAAATTTTCAATTGCGGTTTCTCTGTAAAAATAGATTATTTCAATAAAGACAACGAAGGAATTTGACAAAATTTATCTCATTTCAAGATAGGAATACGAAAATATATTTTTCATTGTTACTCCGATTAAGGATTAAAGGGTAATGTTTTGATTTAGCCGTGTGTCTCTTTAAATGGGGATACGCTTGAAATTAAGTCAAGAATCCCTTTAAACGATTTATAAAACTTTTGTTTTAATTTAATCGAGATTTTGATCTCGTTTTTACCGCTTTAATAATAGATTGTACAGGACACATGCTAATCACACTTTTTATTACTCATCCTGTTTAAAAATAATTTTTTTCGCTGAAAACGCTTTTTAAAAACATTTCTGAAAATTTTTAGGATTTTATCTCTCTCTTTGATCAATTCTCCTGATCGTATTCTTGTATATACAGGAAAACGAATTGATTAGGCCATTCTCAAATTTCTTTTTACAGTAGGATTTTATTTCTCCTCTTGTTGTTTTCACATTATTGTTCTTCGATTAATTTTCTAAAGTTTATTGAATTACAAACCTCTAATGATATATATATATATGTGAATCAGTTAAGGTTAGTAATTAAAAAAAACTTAAAAATTAATCGAAGAACAATAATGTGAAAACAACAAGAGGTGAAATAAAATCCTACTGTAAAAAGAAATTTGAGAATGGCCTAATCAATTAGTTTTCCTGTTGATAAACAACAGTTTTTTATCTTGAATGATAAAAGCAAGAGTTTAACTATACTATCCTTTTACTAGATTAAACTTTTGTAGGTAAAATTGGTGTAAACTTTTAATATTTCAAACATTGTCTATTTGATTTAACAGAATTTATAGTTTGAAATATCAAAGGTCTACAACATTCGTTTGCTAAGAGGGTTTGTGGCAAAAACTCAGTTTCTTTGTGGAGCCTTCGGAGGTTTTAATCTGGGACAAACAAAATTTGATCTAGATTTAAATTTAAAAATTGCGAAGAAATATTTGTCATTTTTCAAGTGACGAAGATGGCATGCTGCATTTTCAAGTGACGAAGATGGCATGCTTTATTTTCAAGTGACGAAGATGGCATGCTTTATTTTCAAGTGACGAAGATGGCATGCTGTATTTTCAAGTGACGAAGATGGCATGCTGCATTTTCAAGTGACGAAGATGCTATGCTGTATTTTCAAGTGACGAAGATGGCATGCTGTANATTTTACAAACGATGATTTTCCGTTATAACTATAAATCAAATGATGTTTTTTTATTCACCTAATTCATTATAAAGTTTATTTAACAGCTTTAAAAAATTCGAAATTGAAATGGATAGTTTAGGGAACATACTGTATTAATGTACTCTACTGCATATAATTTGTGAACATTTACATAATTTGTACACTTTGAACTACCTTTCAGGCTGAAAAGGACTGAAAAAATTCATACCGAGAGATTCTCTAAATTCCATTCTAATATATATTCTATTCTCTTTGTATAGAGCACTCTGGTATATATATATTATATATATACTAGCTGAAGTGCCCAGCATTGCCCGTGGAATTTTGAATAAACAACTCTGGCCTTGCTAAAGGGTGTCCCAAAAAACATGGGAATTAAGTGACAAGTTCGAGATCGTCTTCTTCAAATGATTTTTTATAAATGATACCCACTGAGAAAGCTGTAATCCGCAGAATTTTCGTCTGCCATTGAGTCTGTATTTTTTGTTTATGTTTTGATTGCATATCGTTGTCCCTAGTAATACAAGGAAATTTAAAAGCAAGAATATTAAAAATCAAGGTTTTATTGCATAGGGTGCAAATAGGGAAAAATTGGTTTTCTGTTAGTTCTAGAACTGCTCAATTTTCTTAAACTAAATCCATATTAATACAATCTGAACCTCTCTCATGTTTTTAAAAACAAATGTTTAAATGTCTTGTCTCATGAATTTAATAATAAACTACTATTTGTCAGACAAAGATATATATTTAATCAATTATTTGTGAATATATAAACTGTATCAGAAACAAAGAGAAATAAATAATTTACTCGAATCTCGAAAAATAATAAATTAAATTTACAGATGAAAAAAGAATAAGTGTTTAAAACAGCCGAATCTCTCTCCTATGATATTCATGATATTCGATCTTAAAACTTAAAATAAAGTTTTTACTAAATTTGACTATTTGTTATCTTTAGGATAAAGTCATATTTTTGCGTATTTTCTAAAGTCTGACCACCAGGTTTTTATATTTGTTTCTTGCTTTTTGGATTATTTTTCGGAGGAAAGGATCTTGAAACGCAGTTTGGGCATCCTTGCCATAAAAGTGGCAGAAGTTTAGATACATCCTGAACAGGTTTGGGGTTGGATCAACCATCGTTATACTGGCAAACTTCTCATCTCTCCCTTCTTCTTCCTTGATATTCCTGTTCTCATTCCTATCACTCCGTTCTTCCTCATTACCTTTTCTTTCCTGGATATTTCTTTTCCCTTCTTCTTCCCGGAATAAATTCATGTTTCCTGATTCTTGACTAGTGGCCATACTCCTTGGGGTGGATTGGTAGAATCTGTTCTGGTCCCGACCCAACCCTTCTTGTCTTCCCGGAGGGGATAAAAAGGCTCGTTGCTCCCGAGATTTAAAGGCCTGTGGCTCATCCTGCAGACTTGGACGTAAGGCGTAGTTTTCCTGGAACTTCTTCAGAGATCCGTATTGGAGCGGATCTTTCGTGGGGATGCTTGATAACGGAGTTCTCTCCAGCCACCGGGTTCGGTGGTTTAACATAGGTAGGAGCTCTTGTCTCTGGACATCTAAAAAAATATAAATGGAATGAATTTGCTCCAATTTTCACATCCAAGAATTTTGGAACTTGTTACCCTTAAACTAAAGATCTAATAAATCAATTGTTTCCAGTCCATAAGGATTATTATCATGCGTAGTGGAAATATATGGAGGTCCCATTTTACAAGAACTTCCAAAAACAAGAATGACAATTTTTATGTTGAAGGATTCGATACTAATTTGTTATTTCTGACCTTATAACTATGTTGTGTAATGAGTATGGAGCAGTAATAAAAATGTAATTAAAAAAAGTTGGAAACAAATTTAAACTACTCCATTAATTTATGTTTATCTTTGTTTTGTAAATAAATCTTTCTTCTTTTGAAAATGTAAACTTGCTCCTTTACTGGTAAATTAATTCACATTATGATTTAAAGACTTGTTAAAAGTAGAAAAACAAATTGATCCTTCAAATTGTTGGTTGAAAGAGTTTTTTCGTCCTTAACATCTAAGAAGGATGAGACTTTATATCAGTGGTTCAGATAGTTCATCGAAACTTTTAGATACTTATTTTATTGGTAAAACGTGGAAAAAATAAAATTAAACTGAACATAAAGGAAAAAACTTAAATTTTCTGATCCAATTTGAAACCTGATGGTGTGATATTTTAAACTTAGACTATTTGATAAAAGATTCAAATGTAAAAGATCTACGGCATTGAGTTGAAAAAATAAGTACTTCGTTCTTGGCTAAACCATCGACAATGAGCATGATGTTTTGGTTCTTGTTACGTTTTCTCAAAATAGAACAAATATTTGAAATATTCTTTATTTTAATTTACGTAAACTAGAGTTAAGCATCGTTATTTACAGTTTTTTAAACTATCCGGACACTACACAAAAGTTTAAAAATTTAAAAATTTCAAAATAGTTTTTTTCTAAATATTTGTTGAAAATGAAAATTCTTGGCTCTGGCAAAAGATTTAATCTTGAACGATTTTTCAAAGGTTAAAAAACGATTGATTTTGCTTCGTTTTTCATAATTTCATTAAATAAAATAAAGTTTTGATTTTCTTCAGCCATGATATGTTTTTGTGACGCCTCGTAAAATGTTTCAGAAAGGGATTACAACAGATCCTAATAAAACAAACCTTGTGCCTTTGCGACATAGGGCCTCACATGATTAGAACTGGCGAAGAGAGGAAGAAGAGAAAGGATTGGAATCATTATTTTCTCCGGAGAAACTTGACGGAGTGCCGAATATTTTCTAGATTGGTGTTTATATATCTCTCTCCTCCTCCTCTTTACTCTGCTTCCAGGGGCAGATATAACCAGAACTTTCAATAAAAATTCATCTATTTCCAGGGTTATGAACCAAGACCTGTTTAGGTTGAAAATTATGTTCAGCTTTTATAAAACTATTTTTTATATTTTTTTTCCAGGGCATGATCGGGTTGTATATACATATATATATAAAAGTAGTCTCTATTTGTCTATTTGTTCGTTTGTTTGTATGTCAGATCATAATTCATGAACCCCTTCACTGATCTGCTTTCAATTATGATTGTGGGAGCTTGGAACGGAAATGTCCTTAGTTTGGTGGGAAAATTCGAAGTTGATTGGAAGGTCTCTTAAAGGTAAGGTTAGTTTTCACGTAAAGCTGGAATAGTATACGTTGCCTGGAGTTTTCCTTATAAAAATCAGACCCACTCAACTTAGAATTTTTTAAACCGGGCTAAGAACATTTTAGTGGTTCTACTGAGAGTTATCAAAATTTGAGGCAAATTGGTCCTAGGGAACCAGAATAAGGTCATCCAAACAATACAACTTAACAAAGGCAACTATGAGCTTTTATAAAGATACTAAATATTTAGGTATGTCAGTAAATAATACTGCGTTATCTCTGTAATTCTGTATTCGCTCTGTGCCGTGTCTTATCTTTTGTATTAACTGATAAACTATGTGGGATCCTCTTCAAATTTCATAAACTAATTAGTACTTAATTAAAACCTAGAGGCCGAATTTAAAGAATTTGAGCCGCGGCTTAAATTTATCTTATAATTTTGAGTGACTCCGCCATAAAAATCAGCTGACTCGTAGTTTTGCGATCTCTCATTGGTCAAGATCAGCTATTTTGTGATTTCTGATTAGTCAAACTTTTGAAGATAAATACATGAAACAAGTTTTTTTTAAAGTCGATTACAAAACATATGGATTGTGAATATTTTAACAATTAAAAAGTCACAACCTTATATCTTTGCAACCTGTTGGCGTAAACCTTTCATATGTCAAACTTTATTATTATTATTTGATCTAACAGAATTCATAGTTTGAAATATTTACAATGGGTTGCAAAGATATAGGGATTAGAAAATCAGAGTTTCTGACAAAGACTCAATTCGTTTTCTATACATTCAGGATATAAATCTTTAAGCGACTGTTTCTCTAGAAATAAGTGGAGACAATGAAAGGAAAAATTGCCGTTTACCTTCTCTCCTTTCTCTCAGGTATCCACTGTATCTATATTTATAAAGTAGTAATCTCTGTTTGGTTGGATGTTCGATCATAACTCTTGAACCCTTCACCGATTTGATTGGGACACTCAGGAAACCAACGAGAATTTTCTTGGTTTTGAGATTCTAAATTGAGTGGGTCTACTCTAAAAAGGGAAAAATATCTGAAACCATGATTTTCGACTGAGTGCGGGTAAACGGGGGGAGTAATTATGAATAGCCTGGGCAGCGCCGGGTTCCTAAACTAGTTCATCATCATCAACTGTCTAACTCTAAGTATAAGTAAACCTTTATTTTAAAAGTGTCACTATTACAATTCACAGCAGTATGTTTAAAACATTTCATCATAGAAAATATTATGAAAACTTGTCTTCTTTCATAGGAACAAGAACAATTTTATTACAGTTTTCTAAAATTAGATTAAATAGAAAACGTCAGCCATTTTTAAAAAGATCATCGTCTTGAATTTTTAATGACAATCTTTCGATTAAAGAGACTGCATCGCAGTAAGTTCAAGTAAACTTTCATAAAAAAAATTAAAAAACAGCATTCCTGAATCACAACAATTTAAATATTTTTCTTATCAATAAAGTGTGAGATATCGTTGTTAAATTCTGAAAATTTCCTCAAATGTTTCTAAGCTGAAATGCGCAAGTCAAATGGAAACCACAAGCAAATTAATGTTCAAAGATGATGGATAGTTCATGCATTCTTGATAAGCAAAAGTATTTAAGAGTACTGTTGTAAATCGGACATGTCTCTTCATGAATGGAGAGACACTTGAAATTCTAACAATAGACAACGTACGTTAAACATCTTGATTGTGAAGGTATTGGTGGATTTCTGTTCGGCTATGATACCGGAGTAATCTCTGGAGCTATGAGAGTAATCGTAGAGGAGAAGGATGGAATATTGGCAGGTTTATCAGATACAGATAGAGATCTTTGGCATGAGGTAATATACACATACAGAAAATGGGAACCTGGCTTTGATCGGTATTTTTAAGTTTATCTGGCCTCACACTAATCTCCTATCTTCCCTGACTCACCCGTCCTCATCAATCCTTACCTTCCTGTATGTAGTCATAAAATAGCATAAATTTGACAAATTTAATATTTAGGGAGAAGTAGTTGAAGTACGTGGGGATGGTTAGACTACTTTTTAGTTGGGCCGAAAGTGTATTATTAAAGTGCTTTAACTCGTTGAACTACCTATTCCTATAAATAATATCCGATCTTGGTATTTTAAAATTATGAAAAATATTTGATTTTTCAAAAGCTGTGTTATATGTTATACATGTTACATGTTAGATGTTATATGTTATACATATTACATGTTAGATGTTATACATGTTACATGTTAGAAGTTTTTATGAATGTAGTACAAATTACAAATACGAAAAATCACAGGAACAAAACATTGTCTTGACAGAGCTGAAAACTCTTGTTCGAGTTCTAAATATCCACAGTGATTTTCTGCTCTCTTTTGAATATCAGTGCTGGGTTCCGACCAATGAGAGCAGCTCTAATGGATTGCGTGCTAAATTTCTTCTGATTGGTTGTTTGGTTTCTGCAATTGACACTCTGATTGGTTGAATTTTAGACAATTTCCTGTTATTGATGTATAGGATTAAATTAATCTGCAGATAAATAAAGAGAGGAGATCTCGATATTCACAATGCAAGACTTTCCAGCTCTGAGCTGAAAACTTTAGAATGGTGGATATCGAGATCAATGCTTGATCACCTCTTTTTCTTAATCTCCAGATTAAATAATGCAAGCTCTATTCTTGTCATTAATCTCCAGATTAATTAACCGATCGGGAATCGGGATTAAGGATATCAAATTCCAAATCAAATCCCCTCTCGGTATTTTAAAAATTCGGGCATTTTAAACATTAATATTGAACATTTGACATAAATGAAAAATATTTGGTCTTACAAAAACAATGGTATTTTTGTATAATTTCATGAATGTAGTTCATATTTACAAAGACGAGAAAAAAATCACAGGAAACCATATTGTCTTGGCTAAGAACAGTTTCTCACTTCTAGTTGATAGTTGCGAGCACAGTAGGGTCAGCTGCTCTGTTTGCCCTGCTGGCAGGTATTCTCACACAAACACTCGGCAGGAAGCTTACTATTCTCGCCGCTAGTGTTGTATTTGTCGCTGGAAGCGTTATTATGGGAATAGCTTCATCTAAAGAACTACTGCTAGGTAAACATTCATAAGTTCTTATTTTCTTTTCCCTTTATCTTTACAACCTGTAATTTATTTGACCTTTCATATAGATTCTGTTTTATTAAATATTCTGACTTCAGGTTGCAATTATATATGGATTTTAAAAAAAAATCTGAATTTTCGGAGATTGTTACCATTCAGCGATACTATGCAGTTCCTTTGCAAAAAAAATTTAAGTTGGACAAATTCTTGCAAAATCTTTTTATTAAAAATTCTGATTTCTGTAGAATGTTTTTTAAAATTGTAATTATTGATTAAATATTTCTGGATTAATCCTATAAAGGCTGGGGGGTCTGAATCTACGTATAGCATTGGGGGGGGGCGTTCGGCGCCCGCCCCCTAGAAAAAGGCCTTAGGGAATAGGTATATGGTTGAAATGCATGTTCATAGCCCAATTTTTCATGGCCAGAAAAAAAAGTTAGACCGATAACTTTAATTGTTTGGGTGCTAGGGAGGGTGGAAAAATGCCTAAAAAACGGTGAAAAAAAATTTAATAATATTTTTTGTTTTAAAAAAATACGACACATGTTTCTACATGCATTTTTCAAGGGCTTTCAAAAATATAGTTTTTAGATCTATAGCTTTAGTCGCAAAAAAGTTAGATAACGTTTATTGCTAAAATAAATGTATCTGTATACAGATAGAGTTTACAATCACAAAATTGATGATTATATTAACAGTACAAGTATAAAGCAATTAGGTGGAAAATAGCTCTTGGCTGTTTAGATTAGTTTTGTTTAGTTATGGGCTATTTTAGATTTTTTTTCACAAACTAGACTTTTTTCCGCCCTGTACTCTACTTAATAAATTAAAAAAAATATTTTTTAACGAAAAATCCTTTAAAATAATATTCATTAGAAGTCACAAAATTTCATGGAGATAGTGTCAAAAATGAGAGTGCTAGGACAAATAAACTATGGGGGGGGGGCGCCAAACGCCCCCAAGCCTGTTTAGGGTTAAGAACCAGATGGTTATCAAAGACTTTTTTCAAAGGGTCTGAACTTCAAACTTTTGAATAGCTAGGAGGAATTAATACGTTTAGCCGATTTATCATTTATCTTATAGATGAAACTTTCGAAGCTTTGAAGAGATAGTAAAAAAGACATCTCCATTAAATCTAATTTTAATTAGGTCTCAATATTGAAAAGTATATTTATCTTCTAAATATATACTTTGCTTGTCTGTCTGTATCTAAAAAACACCAAAACGGCTAAACCGATCGGGCCCAGTGAACGGTTGAAATTAAAGAATTTTGCCAAGAAAAAATTGGCGACATCTACTATTTTTGAACCTGCACTAATCAAAAAAAAAAATCCGTGAAAGTTTTTGTCTACAGAGTACGATGAAAAAACTTAAGAAGAAACAGTTAAAAGCTAAAAATTACAATTTTTACTAACAAAGAGGCGCGATACATATTTGCTATAAGTACTCAGAAGGAAATTGACTAAATAAATCAGAAAGTTAAGATTTAATTATCCATAGGATAAATATAAGAAATTAATACTGTTCTTTTATAAGTCCGATGGTGAAAATAACAATACTGTATAAAGTGATAACCAGAAAACTGTGGAATAGGAAGTCGAAATTAAAGGATCAGCATCTAAATATTCTAGTTGGAAGGATTGTAGTTGGATCTGGTATAGGATCAGTATCTAAATATTCTAGTTGGAAGGATTGTAGTTGGATCTGGTATAGGATTGGCCTCCATGTCTGTTCCTGTTTATATATCTGAAGCTGCTCCTCCTGATTTAAGAGGTACAGCATCATCCATAGTTCAGTTTTCATATTTTATTTCAATACAAACATAAACTTATAAAAATAATATAAATACAGTTTTAATTGTGTTAAGCAGTATTAACGGTTTCCTAAAATACACCTGCTGTTTATACCAGTTTTAATGGAATGTAGAAAAATTAGATATTTTGGAAGTCTTAAAAGTATCCTGCAATACATTGGTTGTTCTTAGGTGTTTTAAAAGTATCATGCAATACATTGGTTGTTCTTAGGAGTTTTAACAGTATCCTACAATACCTTTGTTGTTCTTAGGAGTTTTAACAGTATCCTACAATACCTTTGTTGTTTTTAGGAGTTTAACAGTATCCTACAATACCTTGGTTGTTTTCAGGAGTTTTAACAGTCTCCTACAATACATTGGTTGTTTTTGGACAGTTCGTTGCAACCTTGGTTTGCGGAGCTTTCGTGAACGTAGATCAAGGTTGGAGATATATGCTAGGTAGGATTTGTTTTACTGGAAATATTGCAAAATTTTATTTTGCACATCAAATTTTTGCGCAAAAGTATTATTTACATCAAATGTAAATCTGTTATGTTATTTATGTTATGTAAAAATTAGAAAATTGAAAATTAAAGAATTTTTGCTAAATTCATTTACTTTTGTACTATTTAAGAAAAAAAGTCGATTTTTTTGTTCATTTAAAAAAAGTCAAATTATCTCAGGTTTAGCAGCTGTACCCGCAGGTCTACAGTTTATAGGTAAACAAATTATCAAATTTATTCATTTTTTTATTCATCTTTAAACTTTTTTATTGAAAAAAGCGAAGTTAATCCCGCATATGACTACGTTAAAGATAAAAAGGACAGATTTAATCAGCGATTTACATTTAACCATAGGGCCAGAGCGATCTACATTTAACCATAGGGCCAGAGCGATCTACATTTAATCATGAGTGACAGAGCAATCTGCATTTAACCATAGGGCCAGAGCAATCTACATTTAACCATAGGGCCAGAGCGATCTACATTTAATCATAGAACCAGAGCGATCTACATTTAACCATAGGGCCAGAGCGATCTACATTTAACCATAGGGCCAGAGCAATCTACATTTAACCATAGGGCCAGAGCGATCTACATTGAATATTGTGTAGTAACTGTAATGACCGGGCCGACTTAAAAGTGTCACACGGCATTGGCTTTTGATTTTACCTCGCTTACCCTGTTAAATAAACATTTTATATCCCTGGCTATGAAGATTGAAGATTGAAGAGCTTGTCTCTGAGATCTATATGTTTTGAAGTATAGTATTTGGCAACGTCATCTTATTTTAGTTGACAGTGTATGGAATGTTTAAGAGTTAAATATAAAACATTTAACAGTTATATTTAAAATTTAGGATTCACTCAAAGCAGAATTTTCCTAGATTCATTTTTTACCTGTTTTTGAACGATTATTAATTCAATGAATTCTTAGTGTAGACTTTTAGGTTTAAGAAAACAAACTAAAATGGAACAGACTCAAGTGCAATGTTGTTTTTTAATTGAAAGAACGTTAAAATAGTTTTTATTAGTTCAATGATACTGAAAGTACATAGACGAAATTGTAATTTTAACTTTTCGTCTAACTAAGGATAAATAAGAAATCCTTTTTTATTCAGAAAAAAGTGGATTATTTTAAGTTAGGGGTTCTCGTTGAAATTGACCTGCAGAGGCAGAGGCTAGGAAGGAAAATGCCAGAATTCAACACTTTTTAAGATATGGAAAAACGAAGATATTCTGTTCATTGTGAATCGGACATGTCACTCTATAAATGAAGGATCACTTGAAATTACGTTTACAATTCCTATAAGAAAGTATAATTTACAACTCCAAGTATTTGTGTAAATAGTAAACCTTGAGTTCGTGAACCTAATCTTAAGCTATACAATATTAATTTTTGATTCATGTTCATATTAAGTCAGATCTTGTATTGATCAGTTGTTTTTAACCTAGGTTTTATTTTCATGCCAGAGTCTCCCCGTTGGTTGTTAAGCAAAGGAAAGGCAGGATTAAACATGATATTTCAAGAAACCGTATAAACTATAATTGAGGCAGAAAACTTGATATATCCTTGAAATTGTCATATTCCTAAGTCTAATTATAATCTCATCCTCTGTATATGCTTAATCTATGTTTAGTATTTTTTAATATATATGAAAACAATCAGCGTGATATGTTAATAAACTTATTTCTAAAGAAAATCTTTTCAATTGAAACTATAGATTTTTAGACGGATTTTATTAAAAGCCATGTAATAAACCAACACAATAAATAAAAAGGTGGAATCCAAACTCGATAAATAATAAATACATTTATTTCCTAGAATTTATTTATTTTTGTCCAGAACTCACGTGCAACCCAAATTATTTTAAGTCTTTGCTACAAACTAAAATTTTCAAATCTTTATATATTTGCAAGATGATGAAATACACCTTTGATATTTCTAACTTAGATTATTTGATCTGAGATAAATCATAGTTTGAAATATATAAAGTCTTCGACATTGTGTTGCAAAGATTTAGGATTTAGAAAATCAGAGTTTGTGGCAAAGACTCAATTCCTACATTTTTTTCTTTAATTTATTTATTTTTGTTCCGATTCCGAATTAACTCACGTGCAAACAAAATTATTTTATATTTAGGAAAATAATAGTTTTCAGAATCTTCGAATATAAATGCGTACATTTTTTATATGAAATGAACATCAAAGTGATTGCTGCAAAATGATTTTAAACAATAATTGAGTACAAAACATTACAGTCTTAAAAAAAAGGTTTTCCATTCAAAAACAAGACGGGTTTAACAATATCCTTCTTCGGGTACAAGGTTGAGCAGGCAAGGACGGTTCTCCGAGGAATCAGAACCGAAGATGTTGAAACTGAGATGAAAGATATCCAGGATACAGTAAACTCTAACTCAGGCGAATATGGAATTAAAACATTTAAGAACATAGATCGGAACTTTTAATTTAAGAACATAGGTCGGAACTTTTAACTTAAGAACATAGATCGGAACTTTTAATTAAAGAACATAGATCGGAACTTTTAACTTAAGAACATAGGTCGGAACTTTTAATTTAAGAACATAGATCGGAACTTTTAATTTAAGAACATAGGTCGGAACTTTTAATTTAAGAACATAGATCGGAACTTTTAATTTAAGAACATAGGTCGGAACTTTTAATTTAAGAACATAGATCGGAACTTTTAATTTAAGAACATAGGTCGGAACTTTTAATTTAAGAACATAGATCGGAACTTTTAATTTAAGAACATAGGTCGGAACTTTTAATTTAAGAACATAGATCGGAACTTTTAATTTAAGAACATAGGTCGGAACTTTTAATTTAAGAACATAGATCGGAACTTTTAATTTAAGAACATAGGTCGGAACTTTTAATTTAAGAACATAGATCGGAACTTTTAATTTAAGAACATAGGTCGGAACTTTTAATTTAAGAACATAGATCGGAACTTTTAATTTAAGAACATAGGTCGGAACTTTTAATTTAAGAACATAGATCGGAACTTTTAATTTAAGAACATAGGTCGGAACTTTTAATTTAAGAACATAGATCGGAACTTTTAATTTAAGAACATAGGTCGGAACTTTTAATTTAAGAACATAGATCGGAACTTTTAATTTAAGAACATAGGTCGGAACTTTTAATTTAAGAACATAGATCGGAACTTTTAATTTAAGAACATAGGTCGGAACTTTTAATTTAAGAACATAGGCCGGAACTTTTAATTAAAGAACATAGGTCGGAACTTTTAATTAAAATGCTTGATCCCTTCATTTCAGTAATCCCAGTAATAAAAGATGGAGATCAATACTTGATCCAGAGATTCCCCAAACAAAAAGTTATGATTTCAGATTATACTTTATTTTCAACAAATTTTTTAATTTTTAGATAACTCCTAATAAAGAACTCGTACTGCAGAAGTGTCCCTAAGATGATCTTTGACTTGATTCTTTTTTCGCCTTAAATATCATAATAAGCTTAATTAAGATCATTTCAGACCACTTTGAGCAGAAGAAATTTTGAATTTTTTGAAGATTTTCATATTTGATATTTGAAAGGCACATCTGGAACTTTTAACATGATAAAACGGTAAGAGAAACATAGTTACCAGAAAACGGAATATAAGAGAAACAAAGTTACAAGAACATGGTAAGAGAGAAACAAAGTTACAAGAACATGGTAAGAGAGAAACAAAGTTACAAGAAAACGGTAAGAGAGAAACAAAGTTACAAGGAAACGGAATATAAGAGAAACATAGTTAAAAGAAAAATAAAAGAACAATATTAGGTATAAAAATAGAAAGGCATTCAATGCCCTTTACAGTGGTAGGCGGTTATATCAATACAGTGAAGAAAACTTTTTATTTAAGTTTTGATTATTAACCAGCTTTTTTCTAATTACAAGTATACAAGTAATCAAAGAGACGCTTTTTTAATTGACAACTTCTCTTGGCTTCTATGTTATGTGTATCCATGCAGTTTAACAGCTTCATATAAATAAAACTTGAAATCGAAAGTCGTTTCATTATAATGGTAAAATCGCCTACCACTATTAAATAATTATTTTAAATTTAAGATTTTATCTGTGAGCTTTTTTTGTATAATCAACAATAACGCTATAATATTTGGTTTAGATGAATTTTCAAAAATATAAATACATAAATGAATATTAATACTCGCGGTGTATCTAAGATGTATGACCCATCAGCCTACCAGGAGGGCTCTCATTATTGGCTGCAGTTTACAGGTTCAAGATATATTATTTATATATTATGTATGTATATTGTATATTTATTAATAATAATAACAATAGTAATAGTACTAACCCTTATAAATTTAGTACTGGTTCAAACAAAATTTTAAATTGATTAATAGAAAAAGATTAAATAAAACAAAAACATAATAAAAATATCAAAAACAATCAAACCAGAAAGAATACGAGCTGGGATTAGTGATTCCCAGAATACAGGGCGAATACTAAATAAATTTGAAAATTAAATATTTCCAAGAAATTGTGTTTTTTTTTGAGGTTTGCAAACTGTTTGGAAGTAAAACTTTTAAAAGAAATTTTCTTAAGAATAACTTTATACTTCATATATTCTTTAAATTCGAAAATAATATATTTTGATAATGTGGATTTTTGTCCTGAAGATAAAAAAATTGACAAAATGTAATATACTAGCCTTAGAGGGCGCTTCGCGCCCATCTTCTAAATAAATTGTGAACATGTTCTCTTTGTGTACATCGTAAAACAAAACAAAAATAATTCGCGGATTTTCACAAAAAATTTCGTGGATTTTCAAAATTTTCAAAAATTTAATGAAGATCGAATTTTGATGGAGACAAATATTTGAAATTTTGATCATTCATAAACCTTCCCTGGGGTCCCTAGATGTCCCACAAATAATTTGGGCCCGATCGGTTCAGCCGTTTTGACGTTTATTGGATACAAACAAACAGACAGACAAGCCAAATTTATATATAGATATACAATCCTAAACAATAAACCTAATCTAAATCTAAATATAATTAACGAAAACAGGACTACAGGGATATTTTGTTCTTATAATTCATGATTATCATAATAATATTTGACGGTCTTTTCGTAGATGTCAAAAATATTACAATTTGTCCTAAAAAGACGAGATTATTAAGAATTATCTGTAAGAATCATATATTTGATTTATTTTTTCTAATTTTGGTTATGCCTTTTATAGACCATTTAAAGTTTTTTGTGTATCTTGTTTATATTTGCAACCTAATATTAGCTCTGACAGCCAAAATTTTAAATATTTTAAGAAAAAACATATTAGATAGAAAATGTTTTTTTTTACATTTTTACACCATATGTTAGATATGTACGGTACATGGTCGGACTGTGAAGAGGCCAGGCCACGTCGATCATGTAAATCGGCGGGTCAGTACTAAAACGTAGTTGTTCTATAGGTGTTCCAGCAGTTGTCTGGGATTAACACCCTGATGTACTACTCCGCAACTGTAGTTCAGATGGCAGGGATTGGATCAGCTGAGTCGTCCATATGGATCTCTGCAGGTAATATATCCTACAGAGAGAAGTTGTCAAACCAGGGGAATCCAGGAGAACAGATTCAGAGGCGCCCCCCCCCCCCAGGATCAATAAATTCTATGATTTTCCATCCCTACAAAAATCCGTCCATGAAAAGATTGTCGTTTTTACAAGACGCGGTATTTAATTTTTAATTTTGCAATCCTGCATTATCTTGAAAACACAAAAATCTAAAGCATTGACATGTTTAGAAAAGGACCTCCCAACGGTGGCAACCAAAGCCATGAAGTTTTTTATGTGTTCAAATTATTTAGGAATATCCTTCCTTTACTTCCTTGCATGCTTCATTGGTATCTTTCTCGTGGAAAAGCTAGGTCGGAGAAACCTTCTTCTCTTTTCTCTAGGTCAATTCCTTTTATGTACATATTGTACAGTGTATACTTTACATTGTACAAGAATAAACTAGGTCGGTGAAACCTTCTTCGCCTATCCCTAGATCAGTTCTCGCACATTGTACATATTGTACAGTGTATACTTTACATTGTACAAGAATACACAAGGTCGGAGAAACCTTCCTATCCTTTCTCTAGGTCAGTTCCCTTATATGTACATATTGTACAGTGTATACTTTACATTGTTTAAGAATAAACAAGGTCGGAGAAACCTTCTTCTCCTATCCTAGATCAGTTCCTTTTATGTACATATTGTACAGGTATACACTTTACATTGTACAAGAGTCAGTTCTCGCACATTGTACATTGTACATAGGACATGTACAATGTACATTTCATGTACAATTTTAAATTGTACAACAGACAAATTTTTGTAAAATTCAATAAACCTGATATTTGAGTAAAGTAACAAGTGTTAACTGCACGTTTGAGAAATATATATGCCATCTTCTCTCAGTTAAAGGTTTAAAGGGACTTCAAGTGTAATTTCAAGTGACCCTCCGTGCAATGATGACAATGCCTTATTTACAATTGTATCCTTAAAACCTTTATCTATCTATAATAATATGGAAAATATAGTCGTTTTTTCTAGGTTTAAATGTGCCTAATTTTGATCATTCCTCTATGTTCTTCTGGAGTAGAAATGCGCAAGCCAGTTTTGTAGAGAACTCAAAATTGAAAACAACCAGTTTTCTGAATTGTAAATATTGATATTAGTTTATGCTTTTATCAGTCCTTTTAAGGGTACTGTTGCAAATCATCTTGGCACGGAGAGGTACACTTGAAATTGGGCTTACACTCCCTTTAAAAGTTGGAAAAGTTGATGGCATCTTTAAATTTAATAGTATTTTACATAAAGAAATTCATGCATTTATTTTCTTTTACAAAAAAGCAAATTAAGTTAAACTTAAGCAATTTAAAGTTTTCTTTTCTTATTTCATGATTTTCAAAGTATTTAGATTTAATGGTTTTCCAAAAAAAAATATTTTCCTGAAGGAGGAGTAATCATCTCTCTTATTCTGATTGGTGTTGGGTTTCAGCTGGCAGATTTGAATTCTCCTGTATCCAATCCCAACCCTGATATTGGCTGTGGGGTATATACGTCCTGCTCTAAGTGTTTAGAGAATAAATGTGGATTCTGCCAGTCAGGTATAGAATCCTTGGAGTCAAGAGTTATTGAGAATATTTTATTTAGTTTATCTATGTATGTATATGCTTTATGTAAATTGTCCATATTCAGGGTGTTTCTTTAATCTAGTCAGTTTTGAAACTTCTTCATTTTTTGTGATATTCCCTTTTTGAAAATAGATCTGGAAAGCTTATCATGGGAGGTTCTGGAATTTTTTAAAAATCCGCGAAAAAAAATCAATAAATAAATTAATTATTGACCACTTAGTACTGATTTCAGTTTTCATATTTTCTTACTTTAAACCTTCAGAAAAAATGTTCTCTAAGGAACAGAATAATATGGTTAGTTCAAAAATATTCAGCCGAAATGGGAATCTCATCTTTAGTTCGCAAGTTGTTACCAAATATATCTGTGTGTATCTCCAACATATTTAGACATGTCTATGTGTATCTCCAACATATTTAGACATGTCTATGTGTATCTCCAACATGTTTAGACAGGTCTATATGTATCTTCAACATATTTAGACATGTCTATGTGTATCTTCAACATGTTTAGACATGTCTAAATGTATCTCCAACATATTTAAACATGTCTATATGTATCTTCAACATATTTAGACATGTCTAAATGTATCTCCAACATATTTAAGCATGTCTATATGTATCTTCAACATATTTAGACATGTCTAAATGTATCTCCAACATGTTTAGATATGTCTATCTGTATCTATAACGTAAGCAGCTGTGCTGGTGACTGGTTTCCAGATTATTGTCCTTCTAAACCAGTTTATTCCTGGACAATCATTGTAGGTAAACGTACTTTTGTTTCTACTTCACAAATTTATAGTCTTTGATGTTATTAAGAGAATATTGTTCTTTCAAAAACATTTGAGTAATAATATTTTTCCTGCTAAGTCATGTGTTAAGCATTGATTTCTGAGTACAGATAATACGGTTTTATCTTGTTTTAATCCTTTAGGAATTAAGTTTTGCCACAAAATTCCTACATATCTTAGCAACCTGATGTCGTTGAACTTTGATAATCCAAACTAATAATTCTGTTAGAAATAGTAGTAGTATTGTGAATTATCAAGTTGCAAAAATAAAGGTATGCGAAAATGAAAACAAGCCCACGATTTTCAGCGTATGTAGCTAGTAATAATAATTTAAATAGGCTTAATAACGTACCTGGATTAACAATATATTATTATTTACCAATGTAGGATTCACAACGTACTTAGAATTATTAACATATATGTAGGATTCACAACGTACTTAGAATTATTAACATAAATGTAGGATTAACAACGTACTTAGGATTATTAACATATATGTAGGATTAACAACGTACTTAGAATTATTAACATAAATGTAGGATTAACAACGTACAATTAGGATTATTAACATATGTAGCATTAACAATATAGTTGTGATTAATGGCGAGCTTAAGATTAATAAAGTCATAGGATTAACAGAATACCTATAATTAACAATGTTTCTAGGATTGACAAGTTATCTGGTTGCATTTGCTGCCGGTATGGCTCCAATACCTTGGACAGTCAATTCAGAAATTTACCCGCTCTGGGCCAGATCTTTTGCTAACTCAGGAATCTGTTGTATATTGTGAAAGATAATAATTAACCAGATATTTACAATCAAAATGATTTAAAATAAGTTCAGTTTATTTATTTTCATCATTTAGCCAAGAATGTTATGCAAGAACCTGTTTCGCTACTTAGCGATTTCCCTAAAGACCTAATATATGTACCGTGTGGTATTTCTCAGGATTGGATCGTAAGACTCCCTTCTCTCAACGCTCTTCATAATAAAAAGGAAGATAGTAAGGTTCCGAACGTTTATTTCTCTGAGCCTTCAATCTAAACAAGTTTAATAAACCCACAGAAAAAGCTTTGAGTGAAAATCATACACATATAACAAATAATCCACTCAGGCATTAAAAAACTGTGGCTAGGAACCAATAAACGAATACACAATCATCAATCATACTAGAATCAACCAATAAACATAGATATATATAAAATAATTACCACGGTGATCCCAGAATTCTGAACACGGAAAATACTTGCAAAACGAATAAACATATACTGAATATAAATATAACTACTACTCCGCTAGAAATCTTGCGTCTGCGCAGTCGGACTGTAAACAGTTCCTAAACTAGTTCTTTCACAATACATTCCGTACAGATCTTCAGGGAGAACTCAGAAATACCCAGGGGTGACAAGCAGACTTTCTACACGCAGCATGGCTCGCGTAACAGAACCAGTTGTGAGGACATTTTTTTTTATATTCGTAATCTCTTAAAACCTTAAAAATGCTTTTCATTTTTTTCTGCAGGTTTTTAACCTATTTTGGGATTTCTCTGATTAAAATCTAATCTAATATTGCAATTGGTTATCAGTATCTACAGGAACAAACTGGATTTTTAACCTCATCATCTCAATTTCTTTTCTAAGGTATATAACAAAATATTATTAAATTCGTCAACAAATTAAAAAAAGTATCTTGTTACCAAAATAAGTTCAACTAGCTGTTAAGACTAGAAATCATGGTTACAGCTTTATTTAGAGTTAATATATCATATTTTTAAACGCTTTTGTCACTAAAATATTTCTATAAAAGTCCTAAACTAAAACACTAAAAAAAATAATGTGTATAGTTTAACACGACTGTTAACTCGCTACGGTGCATTCTACCTGTACTGTGGGCTGGCGAGCTTGGCCTGGCTCCTGTTCTACCTCGTGCTTCCAGAAACTTCGGGAAAATCTCTTGAAGAAATGGAATCATTGTTCTCCGGGAATTTAATTGTGCGAAGAAAGAAAAAATAAATTATTAAATGTAATTTTCTATCTTTTGTTAAAAGTTATTTGTAAGTAGGTGGTTTTTTTTATTCGTCAGAGCCTGCTTAGAGAGCAATACAAGACACAGGTATACAGAGTGTTCCAGTAAACATGGAAATTGACGGACAAAGGAATTGAGTCTTTGTCACAAACTCTGAGTTTCCAATCCATATCTGTGCAACTATAAATTGTCGTAGAGCTTAGATAATTCAAACTATGAATTATACTGATAGATCAAATATTATGAATTTGAAATATCAAAGGTTTACACCATCAAGTTGTAAATAAATAGGGATTAGAAAATTTGAGTTTGTGACAAAGACTCAATTCCTTTGAGATTGTTTTTTGAGCTTGGCATTCTATATTCTAAATATACTTTTTTTAAAGATAGTAAATCAATTGAATTGTAAAAAAGTTCACATTGCAAGAAACAATTAATCCATAAATATAAGAAAAGACGAAATAATTTGATATAGTCGTATCTAAAGTCTGGATTGGTGTAAACTATGGGTAAGTGTTTATTGAATAATACAGGACTGACCTCAGGGGCGTACGAGAGCATATGCATAGGGGGGCACTTTTTTGTGCCCCCCCTTGGCAACATTGTGCCCCCCTTTTTTAACTATGTTAACTATTCGAACAATTTTAGTTAAGAAATGTGTACTGCATGAGTAGAAGTTAAGAAATGTGTACTGCATGTTGTGTACAGTATAAAAGTTCAAACTATACATTTCTAAGGTACAACTGTGCAATGGAAAGTTAGTGAAAATTTCGAAGTTAGCTGATGGGGAAGTTTAGTTTTTCGGTAAAATCTAATTAAAACTGTTTTTTTAAGGAACTTCTGATGACTCAGAATTGACAAGATTCTTTTCAAATATTGTTGAAATTTAATTGAAATCGGTGAATAATATTTACAATAAACCCTTTTTTAATTCCTATAGTACTAAACAATTTGCAAGATTAAGCCCTACTCTTTTTTCAATAAAGTTGCGATAGCAAATTAAAATTTTAATGACTATAAAACAAGATAAGTGGATTAAAAGACCAATTCAAAATGCAATTGTTTAAAAGCACAATACAATTTTTGATCTCCTCTTTCAAATATATCTATGAAAATTCAAAAAATAGTCATTAATTTTGTCATCATTTTGAATTACTAACATTGAAAATTTAAATGATGATTAAATTTGTTATTAGATGCTGTTTCCAGTTCTTGTAGTTCTACCCTCTATATGCTGTGTTGCCTATTCACTCTACCTAGATGAACAGTTTTTACCTCAAGTTATACCAGGAGAACATGGAAATAATGAAATGTTAGAATATAACACACGGGATATTCCCAAAGTCCGTAGTTTCAACGAACTTTTTCCAGTAGAAGATGGAAACCTAGATCTTCCCAACACAAAAGTGTTTGATTCACAAGCTGAATCTAGAGATTCTGAAAAAAATAATCTTGCATCAGCAGTCCTGGTTTTACCTGGAGATAATGATCCTGCGGCAGAAACTCCTCAAGTACCCGGAGAAAATGATCCTTTGGTAGAAACTCCTGGTATACCTGGGATTAATGGAGTCATTGTGGGAAATGATCTTACAGTGAATACTCATGAAGTACCTTTAGAAAATGATTTCACGGTAGAAACTCCTAAATTACCAGTGACAAATGGCCACAAAGGGGCCTCTACACTAGGAGTAAATTACCATGCATTAGGAGAACCTGGAGAACATGCAACTGATCAACTCAACCCTGAAACAGATAAGGATTCACAGATCTCAAATCCTAGTGATGAAATAGAACATGTTTATGAAGAAGATCCTTATGAGAACATTAATTGGCAACATATCTACGGAACAGGGCGTCTAGCCTACACTGCTACAGACCCGGATAAATATTTTTCAAATGAAATTTACGAGACGAGAGATTCTAGTTGTCGTATAATAGAGGATACTGTTTATGTAGACGAATGTGTTCCCTTTACAGAAAAAACCTGTCATACACAGCAGAAAGAACAATGCAGTGAAATCCAGGAGAATAACTGTACTGCTGAAATTGATACTATTAAGGAGGAGGTTTGCTTCAATGTGACTGATCTGGTTTGTCAGCTGATAGGACGGGTTGAGTACAAGATACAGGACAAATCTACCCGTTTTGAATGTACCAACAGTTCCCGTACTGTTTGTAATTCTGTTTCTCTACTAGAGGTTATATAACTCTTTACTTATCGTTTCGAATTACTATCAGATCATGATTACAAGTTAAACGATTACATTCAAGTATTTTGTTGAATATTTCATTATTTAAGATGGGGAACAAGGATACGTATCAATGTGTAGATCTAGAGAAACAGTACTGTTGGGTAGAGGAGCAGGTAAGTTTTAGAGTTTCTTTTAAAGTATTGTGCAATCAAGGATTGTGTAAGAAAGGTTTGTTTCATCACTAAATGTGTAATCAAGGCTGTGTAATCATTCATTGTGTAATCAAGTATTGTTTTCTCAAAGATTGTGTTTACAAGAATTGTGTATTTAAGGACTGTCTAATCAATGATTCTGTATAGATTGTGCATTTAATGATTGTGTGATCCAGGATTGTGTTATCAAAATGGTATAATCTAGATTGTGTAATCAAGGACTGTGTAATCAAGGATTGTGTAATCAATGATTGTGTTATCATGGATTGTGTAATCAAAAATAGTGTAATCAAAGATTGTATAAGAAAGGTTTGGTTCATCACTAAATCAAGGACTGTGTAATCATTTATTGTGTAATCAAGTATTGTTTTCTCAAAGATTGTTTTTACAAGAATTGCGTATTTAAGGATTATGTAATCAATGATTTTGTGATATAAATTGTGCAGTTAAGGACTGTGTAATCAAGGACTGTGTAATCAAGGACTGTGTAATCAAGGATTGTGTAATCAATGATTGTGTTGTCAAGGATTGTGTAATCAAGGATTGTGTTATCAAGGATTATGTTATCCAGGATTGTGTAATCAAGGACTGTGTAAAAAATGATTGTGTTGTCAAGGATTGTTAATCAAGTATTGTATTCTCAAGGATCGTGATGTAAAGGATTGTGCTGTCAAGGAGATTGTGTTGTCAAGGATTGTGTTGTCAAGGATTGTGTAATCAAGGATTGTGTAATCAAGGATTGTGTAATCAAGGATTGTGTAATCAAGGATTTAGAAATCATGAATTTGGAATGTCTGCAGAAAAGTTTGTCCAAATTTCAAACCATATTTATATATAAATCTCTCAAAGCATTTCCATGAAATCTTGTTAATTTTAATCTTTTTACCAGGTAAAAGATGAGAAAATTTGTATTTACTCAGTGGAACATGATTGTGATGTTTACAAACACGAAGATAAGGAACCAGTTTGTGAGAAGACACCGACCACAAGATGCTACAGTACTCCAAGAAAGGTTTGTATCATTTTTTTGTAACGTGCCCCCCTCCCCCCTTTCTTGATCCATTACCCTTCATATACTTCATTCCTCAATAAATAATTGAAAACATCTATTATTATAACTTTTTTCTAGGTTAGGCAGGAAAAATGTGAACCAGTCAGTAGCAGAGTTTGCCAAAAACTAACTGAGCGTATTCCCAACCCTACACAGATACAGTCCTGCAGAGAGGTTCCAGTTCAACTATGCTCTCTAGGTACTTCATTGAATATTATCAGGTTCCAGTTCAACTATGCTCTCTAGGTACTTCATTGAATATTATCAGGTTCCAGTTCAACTATGCTCTTTAGGTACTTCATTGAATATTATCAGGTTCCAGTTCAACTATGCTCTCTAGGTACTTCATTGAATATTATCAGGTTCCAGTTCAACTATGCTCTCTAGGTACTTCATTGACTATTATCAGGTTGAATTCTAGATTTGACAATGCAACCAATATTTAATTAAGGAATTAACCCCATTAAACTTTTTTTCAGTTCCTTCATCTTATCCCGAGAGAGATGACAGTTTAGAAAAAGAGGAATCTGGTGACTCCTTAGTCAAACCAGAGAAGGTTAAAAGAGCCCCCGCCGATATTGAGATGGAAGGAAATCCTTCTGGATACCTAGAGAAGGTGAGCACATCTTCTGTCTATCAAGAGAAAGTTGACAGTACTCCTTCCTACACGGAGAAAGATGGCAGTTCTCCTTCCTACCTTGAGAAGGGTGCCCGTTCTCCTGTTGACCCGGAGAAGGTCGGGAGTTTTTCTACGAGCCCTGAGACGGTTGGCAGTTCACCTGCTCTATCGGAGAGTTTAAACAGTTCTCTTGGTATTCCGGAGAAGGTTGGCAGTTCTCCTTTTATACCGGAGAATTCTTCCGTCAACCCGTATAAGGTGGCAAGCCCTCCTACTGATTCTGAAATGATATCTCCTGAATCAAGCCCAGAGAGGATTGCAGCATATATTTATTCAGAGGACTGTAAACCTGTTCTAAAAAAGGTGGGATAATTTTTTTTTTTTGACTTAATTTAATTTACGATTTTAAACGTTTAATCAATATGGTTGAAAAAATCATGTAAATAAACATTACTACGAACAAAAAGATCTGAAACCTAAGATATTTTAATTTTTAAGGACAAAAAGCATTTATTATGATCATCACAGAAATATTGATTTCGTCTACAATTTGACATAGTTTAGCTTACCTACAGGGTTACCCACAAGGAATGAGACTTTAATGACAACTTTAAATGCTTTAAAGGGAGTGACCGGCTATGTAAGGAAGTTGAACTGAGTATGCAGTGTTGTGGAAAACTTCTTTTGGATTCATTTGAGACACCCCCAAAGTAGGAGTTTTGAACGTCGAATTTACGCTCAAACTCAGGATTTACAGATCTTAAAAAAGTTCAATATGTCTCAAATGAATCCGAAAGAAGCTTTCAACAGCACTGCATACTCAGTTCAACTACCTTACATAGCCGGTCCCTCCCCTTAAATATTAATATACAAAGTTGAAGTTTGTCTTCTGCCTGTCGATTAGTCTTTTAAATGTTACTTAATGAGTAGATATACAATGCAATAACTCACAAGACTGAATAGGCTAAGTACAGTCGTCTCTAAAAGTCTTATCCTGTGTGGGTAACCCAGTACAGGTTTTCACATTCTTGCATCACATATTTTTCTAGAAATGATTTTTTTATTCGGCAAATATGTTGAGATTTTTTTGTTGATATCACCCCCCCCCCCATACCTCTCTCCAACCTTATTCTGTCTTATCCATTAAGGTTTGTGAGAATATTGGGAAGGTTGTGCTCCGACCAGTGTGTAGAGGGTTGAGGAGGAGCTCCTGTATCTACTACCCCCAGGAGACTTGTAAGGAGGAGGAGAAGAAGTACTGCTATAAGACTGGTAGAACCTTAACACGCACAGTTTGTAAACCAAAAACCAGAGATAGAGTTTATCAATCCATAACTTATCTTTAAATTTACAGTCTTCTGCTGTACTTTCTGTTTCTATTGATTTAACCTATGACTTATACATAATATATATTTCATGAAAACTAATTAAAAAAAATAAAGATCTTTTAAATTTCAAATCGTTTTTGCAAGATGTATTTCTTTTAATTTGAGCATTTTTGTTTTAAGTGATACAAAATAAGTATTAAAAATTTAAATATAAAATCTAGTTAATTATTTCATGTTTTCTTTTCTCAGTTGTGAGCTAGTGATTTTTAATGAAACCACTGTTTAAACATGAATTCTAATATGTTTTACCATTAATAAATTGAATCCAATCATGATAATTTGCGGTTTCAGGCTTTAACTGGGATGGGGTGGGTACAGGGTGTCCCAATAAACATGGGAATTAAGTGACGATTTTGGTATCGTCTTATTAAATGCAATTTTTAATTTTTAGTCATTGAATTCAACATATGAATCTATAAAAATGACAATGTCATCTATAACGGTCAATTTTATATCTTGGTGCCAGAAATATCAAATTAAGTAAAATAGAAAGTTACATGTAATTGTGAGGAGTAGATATCAGATGAATTTGCAGTTTTTAATATTGTTTTCTGATCTGTGAAATGTCTGATTCAGCGACTATTGAAGGTTAGCTTTAAACTCAATGTCCTCTATATTCTTGCAGGTTGAAGAAAAGTCACTGCACCAAGCGGGGTTTGAAAATTCTGAGGATATTCATTGTGTCAGAATTCCGCCTTAATAATGACAAATGGGATGAGAAAGGTTAGGGAAGGAGTGGATATTTTTCGACAAAAAATCTTGATTTTTGTAAGTTTATCTCGCACACACTGCTTTAGAATACGGCCTCGTCTACATCAATCTTTTCCTTAAAACCGGCAGAGTATAAACCAGTATCATTGCATGGTTCACAACCTATCAGGATTCTACTTTCTATGCTTCCATTTTCCTTGTTTCTGGCAAGAGGGAAGGGGAAGAGGAGGACTATTATTTTCTTTTTTTCCAAGTATAGGGTGTATACTGACATATTATTCCACACAGGGTTCTGTTCAGCCACCAGAAACTGGAGAGAGTTGTAATGTATAAAAACCTGAGCTGTTCTGAGCTCTCTTCATGCTTACACATAGAACCAGATTCAATTTGAAAGAATTAACGTCTTTCGACGAGTTCGGATACTTAATAACAGCTAAACAGGCTTGTTATTAAGAAGTATATTTAAAGCTGCTAGTAGCAAAATCTGGATCTGGATAGGTAAAAAGCCTCCGTTCTCCAGGTTAATACAGCGTTAAAAGATTAATGCAGGCCTTCAATGTAGTTCCGTTTATTTCTTTTTAATTTGTGTGCAGGGGTGTTTACCCCCTATGCACCCTTGGCTAAAGTTTTTCTAGTTTGCCATTTTCTCTCCCTCTCTGTTTCTACTTGTTTTTGAATATGCAATTGTTCTACATTACAGAGGTACCCACAAAAGGATGAGAGTTTAATGAAGACCTGAAACTGTCCAGCATAACATTTTCAAAAATTTTGATAAATTCATTTAGGCTCTAAAATTTCATCCATGTTGGGTAACTCTTCAGTTACACATTTTTTTATAAATGGTCCTCCACAAAAATTTGGAGCCCCAGAATCATAGAGAATAGAATATATAGAGAGGAATTTACTGGAAAAAAGTGTAAAACGGCCATTTTGTTGTACTGTTTCCATACTGCAGGTGTACTTCACATATTTATGCTATATAACCTGTTGGGCCCTGGAATATCATTTTATAGAAAATCTAAAATTATTGTTAAAAGAAAACCAAATTATGAAATAGACTGGTTTCATAATTAACCATTGATCATTTCACATAGACTCTATGCCTTCCACTTTACAAACGATGATTTTCCGTTATAACTATAAATCAAATGATGTTTTTATTCACCTAAAAATTCGAAAATGAAATGAATAGTCTAGGGAACATACTGTATTAATGTACTCTACTGCACATAATTTGTGAACATTTACATGATTTGCACACTTTGAACTCCCTTTCAGGCTGAAAGAGACTGAAAAAATTCATACCGAGAGATTCTTTTAATTCCTCTCTATATATTCTATTCTCTGTGCCCAGAATCTTGTGAATTAAATGGTCGTTGATCTTTATGAATAAAAGAGTAGAACAGTTGGTTTTTATTTTGTTAGACTCAAGTCCATGCAAACCTTACCAATTCAGCTTTCATAAGGGGGGGGGGGTCGTCATTTCTTGCCCCCCCCTACAGGGGGGGGCAAGACTTCTTAAGGGGGGGGAATGCTCCCCCTAAATCAGGCTAGGGGGGAGCCCCCATGGCCCCCCTAGTTGCGCGCCTTTAATTAAGGAACATGTTTTTTACTAAAAAAAACATGTTAGAATGATTTCTATCGACGTATGCATGAAAGGATTTAGAGAAAATTAAATAATTTTTAATAACTCTTTTTTCAATGAAAATATGTTCCAGGGCCCAAAAGGTTATAGAGCACAAATATGTGAAGTACACTTGCAGTATGGGAACAGTAAAACAAAATGGGCGTTTTACACTTTTTTCGAGTTAATTCCACTCCCTATTAATATATTCTCTTTGATTAAAGTGGACACTAAGCAGACAGTAAACCTAAATTAAACCATTATAGAAAGCTATTTAGTTTATTGTCTTTTCATAATCACCACCACGAAGGGGGGGCGGGGTCAGGGCCCCGCGAAATGACCTCCGGAGCCTCCTGATACGCAGAATGCCCTCAAACCCCTGCAAAACCGTCTCCGCGCTTCTCGCTACCTCATGGCGTCTCTGCACCCCATCCCTTCCACCATTTCCAAATGATTTAAATTTATTTGTATTTGTGTGGTATTTGTAATGAAAAGATGCCCTCGAGCGGGGGAAGGCAGGCGGCCATGAGCCACCACTGTTTCCTCTTCCGTACCCCCACATTTGACTCTTCTGGGTAAAACTACTTTTTTAAATGGTACATTTTGATTTAGGGCCTTTAAAGTGTGATTTTTAAAAATCCAGCTGCGTCACGCAAAAAAGTACAACCCAAGCCTTTATTTTCAATTCTACATAAGATTATAATATATTCATGCATAAAAAAGAGGTCGTTTTTATAGATTTTAGTAGGTAAACTAAGTAATTTTTCATATTGTGGGAGCAGAGAAAAATTGTTCAGAGTAGTCTGAAGAATAAGAAAATATTATTAAAATCACAATTTTTACTGACATTACTTACGCGTTACAGATTTTATAAAAAAAACGTTTTTTAGCAATTTTCTCTTAATACATTGCACATTTTCCTTCAAAACTAAAGAGTATGCCTCATTTTTAGTATTCATATTGCTCTCAAAAATAAGCCATTTTTCATGAAAATCAGAATTATTTGCAAAAAAAAAGTTTTTCAGTTTACATTAAGAGGAATCATCCTTTTTTAATATTAACACTTAAATATAAATATTTAAATATATATTTTTGCGTGACGCGGCTGGATTTTTAAAAATCACATTTTAAAGGCCCTAAATATATCATTTAATAAAGTAGTTTTGCCCGGAAGAGTCAAATGTGGTGGTACGGTAGGGGAAATAGTGGTGGCTCATGGCTGCCGGAAGAGAAAAAAGCTAATATGTGGCACGGAAGGGGAAATAGTGGTGGCTCATGGCCGCCTGCCTTCCCCTGCTCCCCCCCCCCCCCTCCCAAGGGCCCCAAAACCTGTAATGAAGTACACATCGCAGTATGATTATAAAGACGGTACTGAACTGGTTTTATCTTAGAGTAAACAAATAATTTTGTTACAGAAATTATTATTAGTCAGTCATCAACTGATTGATTTCTAATTGACAGAGAGAGGTAATCATCATTTATCATTATCATTAAATAAATCTTTATTAGTTTTAAGCGACACAACGAAAAATTAACAGCAAAACAAAATCATAGGGTTTCGAATAGAGTAAATTATTTATAAATTATTATATATATATCAGAAAGCGTATATGTGAGAGATAATAAAAAAATCACATTTTTAAATTTTAACTTGTTAAATTCGTTAAAAAGTGAAAAACAGGAAAGGACAAAATTAAGTGATTAGCGTAAGCTCACATTGAGGAAAGTTGTGAGCGAGGTAATTTAAATTTCTGAGATCAGAGCTGAAAACTTTAGAATGGTGGATATCAGGATTAAGGCTTAAACCACTCTTTTTCTTAATATCCAGTTTAAATATTGCTTGTTCTCCACATGAATTTAAACTCCAGAGAAGCAACGTTATCTTCCAATTGGATATTTCATTCTAAAGTTTTCAGCTCTGGAGATATAATTTAATAGAATTTATCAAATTAAAGTCGGTTAAACATTCTAGATTTAAGATTTTTTTATGAAATAATTATGTATGAAGTTATGTTCCAAATTGGGTTGTTGCCAAAGAGAATAGAATACATATTAGAGTGGAATTTACTAGAAAAAAGTATAAAACGACCATTTTGTTGTACTGTTTCCATACTGCAGGTGTATTTCACATATTTGTGCTATATAACCTTTTGGGCCCTGGAACATCATTTTATAGAAAATCTAAAACTATTGTTAAAAGAAAACCAAATTATGAAATAGGCTGGTTTCATAATTGACCAATGATCATTTCACTTAGAATGCCTTTCACTTCACAAACGATGATTTTCCGTTATAACTATAAATCAAATGATGTTTTTTATTCACCTAATTCATTTTATATAGTTTATTTAACAGCTTTAAAAAATGGATAGTCATTGGGAACATACTGTATTAATGTACTCTACTGCATATAATTTGTGAACATTTACATGATTTGTACACTTTGAACTCCCTTTCAGGCTGAAAGGGACTAACGAAATTCATACCGAAGGATTTTCTAAATTCCACTTTAATATCTATTCTCTTTGGTTGTTGCCACACACTCTGATTTTCTAATCCCTACGTCTTGGCAACCCATTATCGTGGACCTTATTTCAAACTATGAATTCTATTAAATCAAATAAAGTTTAGAGTTAAATATCAAATGGTGCTAAAATATAGGGATTAGAAAATTAAGTCTGTGGCAGAAACTTCTTTTGAATCCTTAATGTTCGGAGTAAAAAGGTCTTAATTGCAATTTACATTGCTTTTGTAATTTGAATAATAAAAAGGGGCGTAACTGATTCACCCTTAAAACCTTAAAATTCACCACATGTAAAATATTTGGTCCCTTGAAGTTTATCTTCCGTTAGTGTTAGTTAGTTAAAGAACTAATTCCAAAAATTCCAGCGACACATAATATGAGAATTACAAGACGTCATTTTCTTGATAAATAAATAAATTTAATGAAACATCGTTTTTCAGATGTTTTACTCCTTGCTGTTTCTTCCTTGTGTGGCTCTGGGGGCTGTTGTGCCTCCTGCTCCTAAAGCTGCGGCTCCTATATCAGGGACTCCTGATTCCTATTCTGGTTCTGCTCCAGGTCCTGTTAAACAACAGTTTGGATCATATCAGGATGCAGGTTATGATGCAAGCTGGGACGGAGCTGGTGATTATAAATCAGACAATGATAAACCTGTGGTTCCTCTTGGAACCGGAACTGGTCGCTCCACCTATGAAACGATAGATCCGGATTACTACACCCCAGATGAAATCCGGAAGCAGGGAGATAAGAAGGATTGTCATCCGGTAGAGAAGACTATATATGTAGATGAATGTCTTCCATATGTAGAGAAAACCTGTTTTACTCAGCAAAAGGAGATGTGTAAGGACGTGTCTGAGAAGAATTGTACTGCTGTAATTGATCAGTTTGAAGAAAAGGTTTGTTTTAATGTGACCGAGCTATTGTGTCAACTGGCAGAGAACGTTCAATATGAGATGGTTGATGAAACCTATACTGTTCAAAGATGTACACAGGTTTCGGATAGGGTCTGTGATACTGTTTACGATCTTTCTGTAAGTATATTATTAATATTCATTTAAATATTTGATTTATCATGATAATAATAATTTGTAAACTAGGTGAGCACCAAGGATGAATATCAATGTGTGGATGTTAACTATCAGTACTGTTGGGCTGAGGAGAAGATTGTCAAGGATAGAACTTGTATCTTCTCTGTTAATCATGAGTGTGGAAAGTTTAAACCTAAGGATGGAAAAGGATCTGTAACTTGTGAAAAGGTTCCAACTAAGAAGTGTTATGATACTCCTCGTAAGGTTGGTATTTTCTGTTCATGGTAGGAAAGAGAATATTAAAGTACTTCTTGGTTTTCCAGCGAATGTTTTTTTTATTTCAATTTAGCATGATGTACACAAAGTAAACGATTTATAAATGTAATCTCGATTTTTTAAAAATTAATCCCATTTTATTTCCATAATACAAGCTTTTAAATATTTTTTTTTTCAAAACCAGAACTCATAGGTCCTTTTAAAATTAAGAATTTATAATTTTGTTTCAGGTTCGAGAAGAGATCTGTGTACCCAGGTCTGATAAGTACTGTGAGAAGCTCTCCAACGAATTCCCCTTCCCAGTGGAGAAACAGAACTGTCACAGTGAACCTATGAAGAAATGTGAATTAGGTAAAACAATTATTTAGGAATTTTTTTTAAAAGGATAATTTTTCCTTATTATTCTTGATTCATCTTTTGGATTGGCATTATTGTCAAGTTGCTTTATTTCCTGCTTTAACTGATGTTCTTTCTTCAGAGACCCGAACCCGTCCTAAGAAAGCTAAAGTGTACAACTACATTAAGGAGTGTAAACCGGTTAATAGAGAGGTAAGTTCTAGCTTGTCTTAATATTCCTTCTTACTAGAAAATTAATATTCTAGGTTTGTGATAAATGTGATAAAAAAGCTCTTCGTCCTGTGTGTGACAAGGTACAGAAGAACGTATGCAGCTACACCCCTGTAGAGACCTGCAAGGAGGAGAAGAAGAAATACTGCTACAAGGCAGAGAAGATAATCATTGAGAAAGTTTGCACATCAGAGAGAGTTGAAACTATCGATGAGTCCTTTGTTTATGTGTAAACTAAATTTTATGTTTTATTCTATTAAAAACTGTCCTATTACTCTTAAGTTGTAATATTCAGATTAAATAAAAATAAGAAAATTTGAAGTTTATCACTTTTTAAATCCTACTTCCTGGTCTGTTCATCCACGTATCATTTTTATCCTCTTAACCCGTTCTTGCTGCTTAGTACCTTTAGTTCTTACTGATATTCTCTTCAACCCGCCCCAGTAAGTTCCCTCCTGTATCCAATCAATCCGTCATCTCCGTTCCTTCTGATATCTGCTCAACCCGTCCAAGCTCAGTTCCTCCAGAAATCCTGTCAACTCGTCCATATTCAGTTCCTCCGGATCAGGCGCGTACACAGAATTTTAGTAAGGGGGGGGGCAAGATTTTTTGCCTCCCTGGCTGTTTCCCCCCCCCCCTGGAATTATTGTGTTCAAAAAGTCAATTAACACCATGAAAATACACCAAAAAGACTAAATTTTTGGGTGTTACTTACCTTAGAGTCTAAAAATTATTCCTTTGCTCGAAAAACTTACTTTAACTTAACTTTATAAATTTATCACTTGACTCCATCACAGCTAACTAGATTAATAATCACAGAATCATTAAAAAAACTATATTTTCACTAATAAACAAAATTTCTTCTGTTTTTTCGAATTCTAAAATTACCTTTATCTTTCTTTCAAAAGAATTGTCTTTATCTTATTTAGTTTAAAGTATCTTAAAATTTTGTATGAAAGTGAATTTAGACAAATTCTTAGTCTTTGTCATGTTAAGTGATACTTTCAAAACGTAGTTTCCTTTTAATTTTGTATTTTCCAGGGAGCAGAGGATTTCTGACCCCCCTGTGTACACGCCTGCTCCGGATATCTTGGTTAACCCCGTCCTAGTTCAGTTCCTCCTGAAGTCCTGTCAACCTGGGCATTTTTAGATCCTCCTGATATCTTGGTTAACCCCATCCTAGTTCAGTTCCTCCTGACATCTGGTCAACTCATGTCAGTTTAGTTCCTCCTGATATCCTGTCAACCGGTACAAGCTCAGTTTCTCTTAATATCTGCTCACCCTGTGTTAGTTCAGTTTCTTTAATATTCACCTACCCCGTCCTTGTTCAGTTCCTTCTGACATTTGCTCAACCCGTCCAAGCTCAGTTCCTCCTGATATCCGCTTAGCCCGTCCTTGTTCAGTTCCTCCTGATATCCGCTTACCCCGTCCTAGTTCAGTTCCTCCTGATATCCGCTCATCCAGTCCTAGTTCAGTTCCTCCTGATATCCTGTCAACCCATACCAGCTGAATACCTCTTAATCTCTCATGGTTAAGAATTCCTCCTTACTCGGCTGGTATCCTGCAGAACACCTCGAAAACCCGTCCTAGTTCAGGTTCTCCTGATATTCACTTACCCCTTTTTAGCTTAGTTCCTGATATCCATTTCACCAGTTTTTGCACAGTTCCTCCTTCTCTCCCCCTCATTTTTAGCCAAGCTCGATCCTCCTTATCTTCTTATCTTTAACTAATCTTTATTTTTCATCATTTTTGAATCCATTCTATCCTGTTCCGCTTACGTCATAGCACAGTACATCTTTAATCTCTCAATCGGTTCAAGCGCAAGTTCTAGACAACCCTTCAATGTTCAATATTTTATTCTTTCACAATCTATAAAAAGCACAGGCCCAGGAGGGAGGGGGAAAAGGATCT